AACTGGAGCATCATACAGGGAGAGAACCACTCCCATGGTATGGCAGCTCTACTGGCCGCCAGTCTGCTTCTGGTCTAAATACAAAGTGTTGGTTATTACCTATAAAGCCCTAAATGGTTTGGGCCCAGACTATTTGAAAAACAGCATCTCCTTATACAAATCACCACAAGTGCTGTGGTTTGCGGAGGAAGCCCTGCTTTCAATCCCACCCTCATCTCAAGCACAGGTGGTGGGAACGAGAGAGGGGGCCTTCTCCATGATCACCTTCCACCTCTGGAATTCCCTCTTTAAAGAACTAAAAATGCCCCCTCTCTCCTTTCCTTTAAAAAATTTCTAAAATATTATTTATGCACTTTAGTGTATGGAAAAGAGGAGGATTAGTACATCTTAATTACATACTCTCATTTAGATACTGGAAATCTGCCTCAGTCCTGTTGGTCACAGTAAACCACTCCATATTTTTAATGCATTTTAGCTGCTCAGTTTTTTATTATGTTAGTAAATGTGTGTACCGTGATATATTTAAGTTCTTACTTTTTGGTTTATTGCTTAGTTATTATATGTTTATATCTTTGTTTTACTTATCATGTTGATTGCTTTGTTTGTCTGTTTTATTATGGCATTGAATGTTTGCCACTTCGATGGAAACTGCCCTGAGTCCCCTTGGGGAGATTGGGCAGGTTACAAATACGTTATTACTATTATTACGAATATATGTGTGTTTATAACACATTATGTGGGCTGAGCTATCCTGCTCCCCACACTGAATTTTATTATTAAGCTAAATATATGTTCTGGGACCATCTTGGAAAATATCTGTATGGTTTGTGTCCTGAATGATTTGCATATATCTTTTTCCATCAGTTATCTTCAGGAGAGGTTCCCCCCCCCCCCCCCACTAACTGGCAGTATTACTTAGTGTTTCCCTTTTATGAACTCTTCTAAGATTAACAAATAAGAAATGAGTGGGTTTCATTACAGTGTCTTTAAAACTTTAGCTTTTGGTGGGAATGCCTATAATTGTGGAGCTTGTTTCACGTACCAAAGCCATCTGAACAAATATTACAGGAATCAGAAAAAACATGCTGTTGAGGATATGCATTCTTTTGCTGTAAAATGCAATTTTCCATATTCTATACCAAAGTGATTTGATGCATTTTGATAAAATTGATCTGTACATAATTTTCTACTCCTAGCCAGTGATGTACTGCCACCTACAACTCATTATTCCTTTTTTGTTTGGTACCTTTTGGAAACAAACTCCACAATTTTGAAGATTATTGTATCAAGTTTTGGATGTGTTTGAATTAAATATTTGGCTGATAAAAGGACTGATAAGAGTGTCTCCAAAAGAAACTATTTTATTATTTCAAATATTTGTACCCCGCCCTTCTCTACCCCAGAAGGGGGACTCAGGGCGGCTGAATAGTAGAGACATGGCTTACAATAAATGCAAATGGAAACCCAAATGGTCCAAATTACCAGTCTGGACTCATCTCCCTTACTGAGCCTACAAGAACTTTAAGATCGTCTGGGGAGGCTCTGCTGTCTTTCCCAACCTGTTCACAAGCATGATTGGTTGGGACGAGAGACAGAGCTTTCTCAGTAGTGGCCCCTTGGCTGTGGATCTCCCTCCCCAGTGACATCAGGCAGGCCTCATCCCTCCTGGTTTTTAGAAAGAGATTTAAGACCTGGCTTTTTACACAGGCATTTGGTGAATAGGAAAATATGGAATGACACTTTAACGGCTTGAATAATGGACTATGGATTTTGGAAAATGATTTGGACATGAGATCATGACTTGTCGTTTTATATGTGGTTTTTAATTTGCTTGACAGATTGTTATGAGTTTTGATTGTTTATATGCTTAGATTGTCTATGTTTTTATGAGATGTGTTTTATTGTTTACCTGTACGGCATTGAATTTTTGCTGAATTTGTAAGCTGCCTTGAATCCCCTCTTGGGTCAAGAAAGTCAGGGTAGAAATGAAGTAAAAAAATGATGTTAGAGGGTGTTTTTCTTCATTACCTACAGCCCGTTGCACAGTTGTTGCTTCGTATTTGCATTGCCCAAACTTTTGAAGGGAATTATTCTGTCTGAGGATTTTTTTTGCAAAACAACTTTTCTGCGAAGAAAGATCATATGGTTTATATATTTTTAAAAAACTCATTGTTTCCAGAAATGCAATGTTTCCTACAAAATACATTTTAATGAAAATTAGAATTTTACCAAAAAAAAAAAACCACCCAACAACTTCACTTTAAAAAAACATAGATACAGAAATTCAAATGGGACTTTTCTGAGCAGTTGAGAATGTGGAGGCATGAAAACACTGTGTCTGTGGGGGGTTTTTTTGGGGGGGGAGGGAAAAAACACTATCTGGGTTCCACCCAAAGTATTTTTTCCTTTTGCATTTGATAGATACATAGTCCAAGGAAGCTATTCTATTTAAAGGCCATTTTGAAAAGGTTAATGCCAATGTTCATATTTGTTATATTATGCAATGAAACTCAGAAGGTCTTGAAGGCCTTAGATCATACTTTACATATTTTTTGTGAATTTGGAACAGAGATTTTAGCATTCTTGGCAGAGTTAGAAACCATGAAATAAGACAGGAAAAGAGGTGCTGGGGTTGCAACCAGTGAGAAAACTGAGGTTAAATGAGGGGAGTCATTTTCATGATTGAAGACAATAATCTTTTCTTCATTTTTTTAGCCTTTAGCTGACATTGCCCCCTTGTGTTTAGTTAGCCTGCCTCAAAACCACAAGCAGCTAGAGGCATATTAGCATACATTCGTCATGAGTATATTAATAACATCACTTAATTTGATGTGAAAATGCATTGTTCAAGATCCAGTCCACATTGTGGTCGTTACCAATTACAGCCCCTGATTTCCTTGCCATACACGTTTTTCAAACAACACCTTGTTATAACTGAGATTACAAGCAAACAAGTTGAATTAAAATAATCCCTTTGACTCTCTTTGGGAGGGAAGAGCATGTTTTGCTGCCTATCACTTATCCATTTGAGTCCCTCTTAAAATAGACTGAGGAACAAATAGGCTGATTGGCTACAATCATTTTTGCTTTGCATTCGGCTACAGTCACTTTGTGTAGTCAGGCAGTCACAGTAGAAGTTACTTGCTGTGAACAGGGGAGCATTCATAAAGGAAAACAAAGATGCAAATCATAGCATACATTTTGCTTACAACTTGGGATCAAAAGTGAATTTTGTTTGATAGATTTGTTTGATGATTACCGTATTTTCTGGCATATAAGACGCATGGGTGTATAAGACAACCCCCAACTTTTCCAGTTAAAATATAGAGTTTGGGATATACTTACCGTATAAGACCACCCCTCTTCCGCCTCGTCTTCCCACCCCGTGAAGGGAGAGAGAGAAGGAGGGAGATCCAAATTAAAGAATGAAAAACATTTAAAAACAATTACATCCATTATTAAAATCACACAAACCAAACCTGTAATTTTGCTACTCTTATAAATCGTAATGTAAATATCTGATATCCAGGATGTACTTCCATTGTTACAAATGGAACATAATTAAGGCATAGTGATTAATCACAAAAACAACATTTGGGGGACAATGGACAACGGATGATGGGATTTGCAGTACCTTCAACTGATTCAGCTCTGACTTCCATAGACCACTGAGACCTTCACGAATTACAGACCTGGACCAAACTTGGCACACAGAACCCTCATGACCAATAGAAAACACTGGAAGGGTTTGGGAGGAATTGACAGTTATTAATGGGAGATGTAGTTCACACATCCAGAGAGCACTTTGAACCCAAACAACTATTGATCTGGACCAAACTTGACATGAATGCTCAATATACCCAAATTTGAACATTAGTGGAGTTTAGAGAAAATAGACCTTGACATATGGAAGTTCCTTGGATTTATAGTCCACCTGTAATCAAAGAGCACACAGAATTCCCATGAGCAACAGAGAATACTGGAGGGGTCTGGGGAAAACTGACCTTGGCATTTGGGAGCTGCTGGGATTCATAGTTCATCAATGAGCATTCTGAACTCAGGGGACATCGCGGCCTTCCTCCCTCTCTTTCCTCCCTTTCTCTCTCCAAAGCTAGCCAGTGATCGAGCAAGGGGAAGAGGGAGTGTGCATGCTCCTCCTGCTCCGGCAGCTTCTCCCTGGGACTGGCGGGCAGGGCGGAGCCGGGTCCTGTGAAGAAGGAAGGCAGGAAGGAAAGCAGAAAGCTCTCCTCCATCCCTGCCAACCCATACCTGGGGCACAAGATGACCCTCAACTTTTGAAAGGATTTTCCAGGGTCAAAAGCTGTCTTGTACCCCGGAATATATGGTAGTTCACTGGCCATATCAACAGTAAAAGACAAAATAGAAGAATACATAGCCAAATGAACACAAATCACTATCCTAAATCCTGTTGTAGTTAACTATTTTTTTTCATGTCAGAAGTGACTTTGAGAAATTGCAAATCGCTTCTGGTATGAGAATTGGCCGTCTACAAGGATGTTGCCCAGGGGATGCTGGGATGTTTTGATGTTTTATCATCCTTGTGGGAGGCTTCTCTCATGTCCCCACATGGGGAGCTGGAGCTGACAGAGGGAGCTCAACCTGCTCTTCCCGGTTTCGAACCACTGACTTATTGGTCCTGCCAACACAAGGGTATAACCCACTGTGCCACTGGCAGCTCCGTACTAAAATAAATTGAAACACTCTACAACTTGATTAAATCATAGGTTTGGTAAAATTGAATTCAGAATTTTCTTTGAATAACTTGATTTAAAAACAGTTCACGTATCCAAATATTTCTACCAGTATGACTCCATTATTTATGATAAAGTTGTATTTGTCTTCTTGCATAATAAGTTGATATTTTAGCATACAGATAAATTGATTGAGGGCAAAAGGAATCTAAAATTCAGCAAGGGAAAAATGGCCATCTGTTGTATTAGCTCTAAATAAAGAGTATTAGCTCTTTTTTTCTTTTTCAGTCAAACAGGCAACCTGCGAAATTGAATTTATTAACCTGCCAAGTGAAACCAAATGCTGAAGATAAGAAGTCTTTTGACCTGATATCACGTATGTTATGTTTAAAGCTGATTAGCACATGCGCCATAACATAATTTAGATTAGATTGTCATGGACTGTTTCTTCAGTGAACAAGTTGACTTATATTATTGTTCAAAACACTGACCAAAATGTTACTCATTGGAACTGATTGAAGTTCCACCTATTCATTTCAACTATGTTTTGGTTACTATGAATATTTTTTCTTGAAAAGTTTAAATGATTTGATGTTAAGAACCATTATTCATGTTCATTCTTTTAACAATTAACACGTTTCTGTTCCAGATAACAGAACATACCACTTTCAGGCAGAAGATGAGCAAGACTACGTAGCGTAAGAGTACTTTTATTTCTTGACAGTACAGAAGTTGTGTTTTGTACACTTGTAAAATAGAACTAATGTTTACTTGCAAAACATTTTTTGCTGTTACCCACCTTTCTAAAATGATAGTGAATGGAAACAATCTTCCCTTCTTTTGAAATATGTCTTGCATAATTGCATACTTTCATTTGAAGGATACTTCACTACTGATATATAGATATAGATAGATCCCTCTCTCTCTCTCTCTCTCTCTCTCTCTCTCTCTCTCTCTATATATATATATATATATATATATATATATATATATATATCTCAATAGTGAGATTATATATATATACACACACACACATATACACTTAAAAACTGCGAGTATATAATTAGTAATAAAAAATATAGTGGTCAGTGCAAAAATGCAATTACCAGCTGGGATGTCATGAGTTTATTTGCCTGTTACATCACTACCATGTCAAAACATCACCTCTAAAATATAGGAGACAACTAGCATTAATTTTCTCCAGAAAGGAAAAATGGATTTAAAGAAACGAATATAGGATAACGTCATAAGGATGGGAGGGGGAACTGAACCCCTGACGTATGATATTAAAAATGCACATCTGGAAGATGCACTGTACCCAAATTCATTTGCTAGTCCTGAAAGGAGTAAACTCCTCAAAGCAATTCTGAGTCGACATTTACGTAAATTAGTTTGATTTGGAGAGTATACTCTAGTTGGGAGTGACAGTTGGATCCATGTCCTGATTTCCAAGGAGCAGTTGCTTCTGTCTGTTGCTGCACCTTGCATGGGAAAAGATAGCTATGGAGTAAGTGCCATGTTTCATTATTTGATTTTGTGAAATCATATTCACCATGAACTTTCTCTAACTTTTTGAAATATTATTCAAAGTTTTTTGTTAGGGTTCAACCCCACACTGCTCAAATCTCCAGTCCTCAATGAGGAACAAGTTAGTTAGCTTAGAATAGGCTGAATAGAATAGGCTCCCCCCATGTCTCCTGTATGACAGTTGGAATGTATCTACAGTAGTCTCGCTTATCCAACCTTCATTCATCCAACGTTCTGTATTATCCAACACAGTCTGCCTCCCACCCAGATCCACAGCTGTTTCAATATATTGTGATGTTTTGGTGCTAAATTTGTAAATACAGTAATTACTACATAACGTTACCATGTATTGAACTGCTTTTTCTGTCAATATGTTGTAAAGCACGATGTTTTGGTGCTTAACTTGTGAAATCATAACGTAATTTGACATTTAATAGGCTTTTTCTTAATTCCCTCCTTATTATCCAACACTTTTGCTTATCCAATGTTCTGCCGGCCCATTTATGTTGGATAAGTGAAACTCTATTGTATTTGCTCTCTCCTCTCTGTTTCTGCTCTCATTCTTATTGGTGTGCTGTGTGTATTGAGGGATCTCTCTCTGTATTTGTGTCAGAGAGATGTAGTGATTGGTGCTTTTTCTCTCTCTTTGACACCTTAGAAGAGATGGGTATTAGATTAGACCCAGTTCTTAACCATTGAGAAACGTAGTTATTATTTTATAATGTAAATAAACCTTTTGTGATTTTAAAGATTGAACTCTTTACAGCCAGTCACACGGCACTTCACGCTCTGCTTGCTATGAGCTGATTGCTAAACTTTTAGTATTTTGTTTGTGTTTTGGATGGTCTCCTATATTTATGGGTAGTTTTCCCTAACAGGTTTTTTTGTAATTAGATTGTATAATTACAGGATATCGCATGCAGCTTACCTTCCAAAACTTCCAGAAATTGTGGTCTCAATGCTTAACTTTGTCTAGCTCTCTTCTTTCTGGGCTTTTCCATTAGTTCCTTCTAGGCTTTTCCAGTTCTGTAGTTGATTGTTTTTCTCATGTCCATTATAATGTAGATATTTGAGTTCCAGATTCACTTCAGGTAGGAAGGGCCTCTTTCTTGGCAGAGTGTGAGTAGGCTAAGTGTGGCTCATCTAATAGCACTTTAAAATATAGCACTAGCTGTCCAGATTGTGAAAGGGAAGTTATCTGTCATTCTGAACACTTGATTCTGTCAGCAGAAACGTGAGTTCTGTTTCCAGTATATGCAAACTTACTTTCCTTTCATTACTCCATCATATATTATATAAAGGATGAATCATTTAGCTCAAAATATTCAGAGATCATTTTAGTTTCTCTCATAAGATAAAAGTTATCCACATTCCCGGTCTGACATGAAATGAGTCATGCATCTTCTTAGGTTTTAAACGCACAAGTTGATTCACTGGCAATTCATTTCTGGAAAAAGAATATCTCCCTACTTTTATCAAGATCCCCTCCCAGCTGACTCTCCATGAGCAACTATTTACAGCTGTAGATCCAGCGTACACATTTACTTTCCTGTTCCTTTTTGTCCTCTCCAAACCCAAGTCAGGATTAATAAATGAAACATTACAGTGTGAAATCCCCAATGTGGCTGTTTTTTCCCCTTCACTTTCACCGTATAATGTCCTGGTCTTGAAAGTTTTCATTTTATCATAAAAAGAATGAGGGAACATAATAATTTATATTTAACGGCATCTGTCTAGCTGTTGTCCAGCTAGATCTTTGCTTGGGAGCAGCTTTGGGTATGATGTCAATATTATAAAACAGGATGTTTGAATGGCATATCTTTTGCACCCTGCTTTTAAGGGTAAAGGTAAAGGTTTCCCCTTGACATTAAGTCTAGTGAAGTCCTCCTCTGGGTGGTGGTGCTTATCTCAGTTTCTAAGGTGAAGAGCTGGTGTTGTCCATAGACGCCTCCTAGGTCATGTGGCCAGCATGACTGCATGGAGCGCTGTTACCTTCCCACCAAAGTGGTACCTATTGATTTACTCACATTTGCTTACCCCATTCCATGGATTCGAACCGCCAACCTTTCTGTCAGCAAGTTCTGCAGCTTAGTGGTTTAACTTGCTGCGCCACTGCGGCCTTCTTTTAGGCTTATGTATAATACATAGAACGCATATGAGATCATTGTTAGTTAACAGCTTCTTCTGTGAGTGAAGGGTAAAGTCTGCTAGAATATATACGAACTCGAGTAGAACATATGAAAAAGAAGTTATTTACTGTATTGCCATGAAGTTTCATGTTAATATTACTTTCCATGTGCAATAATATAGTTCAACGGAGCAAGTAATTACTGCTCAGTTTCAGTCCTGGAAATGTTTTTCTAGCTATAAGACCTTTGTTAATAATTTGATGCTGAATTTGATGTTTTTAAAGACCTGGATTTATCAGCAGTAAATTAAAGAAAACAAGTAGTCTTTCCTGACTTAGACATTGAAACCAGGATTTAAATAACTGTAATTGGGTGTTGGTTCAATTTTATTTCAAGCTATTTATACATAAATCACAGAACACCATGTACCTCTGAGATTTTTATTTGTTTTACACTATGGTTGATTTATTAGTTGGAAATGAACAGCTGCCTTGCAGTTTTAAAATATTTATTGGTAATATTCATGAACTAATATGCGAGCTAAAATGTTGCTGTTACTGTGAAGCAGAAGTATGTGTACTTATGCTTCACAGTGTGCCTCCAATGACTCATGCATTATATTTGAGGCTAGATCTCATCCTCCTTTAACTTATATATGTTCACTTAATGGAGAAGAGCTGCCAAACAGTTTATTCTATTAGACTTCTATGGTCTTATTTGTTGTTGTTTTTCTGCTGTTGGCTTTGATCTATGCCCACCTATGAGTCACTGTATCATCAACATTCAACAGCCCTCCTCAGGTCTTGCAGACTGTGCCTTCCTTGATTCTGTGTATCCATCTGGACTGTAGTCTTCTTTTTCTTCTGTCTTCCAAGAAAAGCATTATTGTCTTTTCTAGTGAGTCATATCTTCTCGTGTTATGTCCAAAGTAATACAATCTCAACTGAGTCATCTTGACTTCTAGAGAAAGTTCAATCTTGATTTGCTCTAGGACCCATTTATTTGTCTTTTTAGGGGTCCATGGTATTCATAGAACTCCTCTCCTGCACCATATGTCAAATGTGTTGATTTTCTTCCTATTAAATTGCCATTAATTTAAGCTGCCACTTTTTTGGTGCAGTTTGGCTTTCATGGAGCCCCCAGTGGCGCAGTGGGTTAAAGCACTGAGCTCTGCTGAGCTTGTTGACCGAAAGGTTGCAGGTTCGATTCTGGGGAGCGGCGTGAGCTTCCGCTGTCAGCCCCAGCTTCTGCGAACCTAGCAGTTCGAAAGCATACAAATGTGAGTAGATTAATAGGTACTGCTCCAGCAGGAAGGTAACAGCGCTCCATGCAGTCATGCTGGCCACATGACCTTGGAGGTGTCTACGGACAACGCCGGCTCTTCAGCTTAGAAATGAAGATGGGGTGCTTTGAATGCAATGTTCCTGCTTCTTGGCAGGGGGTTGGACTGGTTGGCCCATGAGGTCTCTTCCAACTCTATGATTCTATGATGAGCATCAACCCCCAGGGTCAGACACAACTGGACTTAATGTCAGGGGAAAACCTTTACCTTTTTTTGACTTTCATATATATCCACTTATTTTCCTTTTTATTTCATTTATTCTATAGTGTGAAGTAAAAACCCATTTTTCACTTTCCTAATTAATGTCATTTCTACATGCCTTTCTCATAGTCACTTGCCCCCAATCTGTTGCCATACAAAAATGACATAAGCCTTTATAAAAACGTACTTTCTCCTAAGCTGATAGTTCTCCCCTATATACGCATATACATGTTCTCAGAAGTTGAAACACAGCACTGCAATTTCAGTTATTCATTCCCAGCTATTTCAGGCCTTTGCTGGATACAGTCTCTTTTGAAATTTCCTGATGAATGCCAACTCACCTGTGTAAATGAATATAATCTAGTTCCCTGTTTCTTAGCTCCCTTCCCCAGTTTGAATAGAAAGGTTTCTCTTGTCTTGCAAAGAGTATTTTCTGACTTTGTAGTTCACATTTTACTTCCATTTCTACATGCAATTTATTGCCAAATCTTCAGATAACACACAGTTAAAGCAATCGTGTTATGGCAGATCTTGTACAATTATCTCTTAAAGGATAGTCACTTTTGCTTTCTTGGCGTGTGTCAGAAATCAGCTTCAAAGTAGTTGTTTATGTTGTGTATTCATGTCATTTCTGACATATGATGACATAAAGGCAAGCCTACTATCAGGGGTTTTTGTGTGCAAGGTTTATTCATAAGATAAATTGCCCTCCTCTGAGGCTGAGAGAGTGTGGAATGCTCATGATCACCCAATGGATTCCATGGATAAGTGGGAGTTTGAACCCATGTCTTCCAGATTCTTAGTCAAATACTCAGACCACTTTACCATATTGGCTCAGTGCAGATCTTGCATCTATTTTTCCTAGTTAATTATCCCTTTACATGCTCAATTATTTAAGATACCCCAAAGGCAATAAATAAAATCATAGCTTTAATGGGTACATTGCAATTCTTTTCAGGTACTACTTTCTTTTGAAAAGCAATGTTTGCTTCTTCTGTCTAGGTCTATAATGAAATAAAGGGAAATCCAGTAATTGCTTGAGCAGTATTCTTGTGCATTTGTACATAATCACTATCCGTTTCAGTTTGTTTCATGCATAAGACCCCGTTTTAGTTTTTGAGCACCTCTTCCAAAAACAGGCTCTTTTCCAAATGAGCTTTTTCATCCAAGTTCCAAAAAAAAAAAAGCAACCCCTGAATATTTTTGGCCCATTGGCGGCAAAGCGCCAGGACCTACAGCCAAGCACCAAAGAAGAGGTTCTCGGTGCTCGGCTGTAGTGCCTGCCAGGGCCTACAATTGAGTGCCAAAATTCAGCTGACCAAATGATACTGTTCCTATTTACCTTTTGTTTCACCGATATTTCTGAACAGGAGGGGGTGCAACATTTCATGCCATCCAAATGAACAGTCCGAAACGAAAACACGAAAGAAACAAATGAGACAAATACAGGGCCCATGACTGTTGAGCAGCTTAGCTTATACAGTACAGCGGTTTTGTAGTCTAGTCTTGAAGAAGGCAGATACCTTCTTTTCTCCCACCGGCATTCAAAGTATTATAACTTAATATTACTCTGTTTTTGTATGTACATCTTGTGCAAGATCTTTGATGGTGTTGCTGTACCAATGCAGTTTCACTGTGTTGAGCTGTTATATATCAAGTCAAAATCTAGGATGCCTGTCTTGCTGCCAACTACATAGATGTTGTACAGCTTTGATATTGGAACTTGTCAACTTCTGTGACTGTGCAGCTGCCCAAAGGATTTGGCATGCATTTGCAAGATGATAGGATGTTCACTGAATGTGAACTCACTTGTAGTCTGTGTGGGCTTGCTTTCTTTAATGTTTAAGTGATTGTGTCAAGCTTTAGGATAATAATTAAACACAAAGACAGTGTTTTATCATTTGTCCTTACAGGGAAAATAACCAGGTATTTCCCATTTTGCTTTTTTAATTGCAAGGCATATATAGCTCCCTCTGAGGTAGGATAGGGTAATTTAAATGCCATATAGACATAAGATGGTAGAATTTGATCTAAGATTCCAGGTGATATTTGCTTATGATAACTATATATTTTTTCTGAAATATTTCTAAGTAATGTTTCCATTACTTGGGAATATCGTTATCTCATGATTTCTGTCTGCTTAAAAGCACATTTGAGTTTTTACCTTGTTCCAGATTTCACTACTGTTGTACAATATTTGCTCCAGTATGGAAAACTTGAATTACTTTTTGAGCATTTTCAAACTTCACCCATTTTTCTGCTATCTTATTTTATTTTTGATGTCATATTTTTGTATGCTAATTGTTTTTTCCAAAATATTCTTATACACTCATTCAATCTGCTCTTTCATGCTTCCAGACTGTTTTCTTTTATAGATTGCTGTCTTTTTTATATATTTTATATTAGATGGATATCAGTATTGACCAACAGCAAAGAAGAGGCTTTAAATATGGCATTCCAAGGAGAACAAAGCACAGGAGAAAACAGTTTAGATGATCTGACAAAAGCCATTATTGATGATATACAGAGGTTACCTGGAAATGATGTTTGCTGTGATTGTGGCTCACCAGGTATGTTCTGCACATTAAATGTATTTGAGTTAATGTAAAATTGCCTGAGAAAATTGTTCTAAGACATTCTTAGGCAATCATTGTCAGTGTTTGACAAGACTGTCAATAGACTTTTGGTAATAAAATATCCATAAGCACATAGTACAGTTGGTGGGAATGAGAGAGAGGGCCTTCTCGGTGTTGGCCCCCCGGCTTTGGAATGCCCTTCCCAAAGAGATTGGGGTAACACCCATCCTCCAAGTTTTTCATAAACAGCTGAAACCATGACTTTTAACACAAGCTTTTAACCATGTTTAGTGATTATGAATCACTATATTTGTAACCTTAGTGAATGGTCACTGTTTTACTTTACGAGGACAAATATTGTTCATAGCTGCTATTTTATAGCTTTTCAGGTCTTTTCGTACTTTTAATTGATAGGGTTTTGTTTGTTTTATGTGTATTGGGGTTAATATTATTGTTATTAATTTGACCTTTCATATTTTATGGTATGTGTATTGTGTGATACTCCTGAGTGCAACCTGTGAGCTGCCCTGAGTCCCTCCAGGGAGATGCTGGTGGGATACAAATAAAGCTTATTATTACTATTATTATAATTTGAATGAAAAGTAAAATAAGATTATTTCTAATGTAAGTTTTCCTCTTTTTGTATTCAGATCCAACATGGCTTTCAACTAACCTGGGCATTTTAACATGTATAGAGTGTTCCGGAATACATAGAGAAATGGGTGTGCATATCTCGCGAATACAGTCGTTAGAGCTAGACAAATTAGGAACATCTGAACTCTTGGTAAGAACATTATAAAATAAGATAGCATTAGGATGAATATGTTTCCCTACTAGTAATAATTTAAAACCTGCTGTACTTGATGTCAGGATGTAGAAGTTGCTAATTTAAACTCTTTATGTTTCATATCTTCCACAGCTGGCCAAGAACATAGGAAACAATAGTTTTAATGATGTTATGGAGGGGAACTTACCAAGTCCTTCTCTCAAACCCACACCATCAAGTGATATGTAAGTAACAAAAGTTATTGAGAATTACATTGATTCATGAAGCAAAAATGCTCCTATAAAACAAAACCAAGACAATTATTAGTTTTGTTAAGTACTAATATCAGTTTTTAGAGTTATTTTTCGCAAAATTCCATTTATTTTTAGAGTACTATTATTACGTAAGATTGTGTGTGTGTGTGTCTAAAAGCAACATGTTTGAAGTCATATTCAGAGCTGTAGAGAACTTTTGAGGATAACACATTAGGTTGGACCTGAATCACTGCTAATGAAAAGATTTGTAGTTTTCAGTGGGACGTATTCAATCATTTTTGAAAACAAAACAGGGAGGAGGGAAATGAAAAGCCCAGGAAAACAGATTCAGAGAGTCTGATTTTTTTTCCGTTCTGGATAGGAAAGAGTTTAGTCCTCAATATACCTGAGGCAGGGATCTTCCGTGTGTCTTTTTCTCCCCTCACAGAAGCAGCTTTCCCAGCAGCCCTTGCATAGGGTAGTCAATGAAAAGTTCCTCTCGGAGCATGACGGGATTTGAAGTTTCTCTGTGTGTGTGTTTCTCAGCCAGTAAAATGCCTGGTGGTGTCCATGCTCTGATTGGCTGAGAATGGACACAGTGGGCAACTACAATTCCCAGAACCCTCTCCTGCGGTTTGTCTTATTTTCAAAATGTTATGTTTAAAACTTAAAATAATTCTTAAAAAATCAGTAGATTGGTGAATTGTTTTGAAACTTGACAGGTCTTCAGTTGTAAATGAGGTCTAAAACTAAGGTAGGTTTCATGCAGATAGGCCTTAAAATGGCTGAGGACTGATCCTTTAAAATTTCCCATTGTAGCCAATGGGCTTTATTCTGCTGAACGAAAACGGAAACACCGCTCCCCTTTCGAGTAACTTCTCGGTAAACAGAATAAGGGTCCAGCCAGCAATGGAACATGAAATGGCATGCCTTTTGGCAAAATTACACACCTCTATAACACATCCAGCATTTGTAATGTAATGTAAAAGAGGCGTAACTGTTTGGAGAAAGGATGGAAGAAACTCTTTGTTCCCTTTCATCCCTGGTTTAGCCCTACTTGAACTAGAGATGCTTTAGGATTTACACAGCAATCTGGAAATGCCTTCATCAAATTTTCAGGGCTTCTCCATCTTCCTTTAGACTCTTCCCCCCTTTCAGCTTGGTCCATTGTATAATGGGCAAGGGGTATCAGAAGTCCCCATTGCTAAAATGTGGATGCAGTCTTGACTACTCTGTTCTGTTTGAAGCTTGTCAACAGAGCTGTAAATTTATTAAGGCTGTCAGAAGACTGTATTGTCACTTCACATGTTTCATGCTTTCCAGCAGATAATTGAAAAAAATAATTAAGTCAGTGACTGTATCTTCTCTTAATTATTAGCAAATCAATTCAAAATTATGCCCCCGTCCCCAAAAACTACTTACCGGTTGAAATATAAAATGCCACTTGGTTTCGTACTCCTAAAGGAGTATCTCTGGTAAAACCTATTGTTGTTTGTTTATTTATTTACAGTATTTATATTCTGCCCTTCTCACCCCACAGGGGACTCAGGGCGGATTACAATGTACACATATATGGCAAACATTCAATGCCAAAGACACACAACGGATATAGACAAACAGTCAGAGCCTATTTAACTTTTTCTGGCCGCCAGGGGAGCTGTCACTTTCATCATCCATCTGCGACACTGATGATGTACTTCCGCACTCCCTGCATGCTTTTGCTAGAGTGCTTTGCTGGAGTCTTTTTTATGGCCTCGTAAATTTTGTTAAATTAGCCTCCCCACACATAGATGGCACCTCATTTTCCTACTTGAAAGATGCAACTGTCTTTCAGGTTGCAAAGGTCAACAACAAGCTACAAAATTGGTCGGAAGCTCACTCCGACCCGGGCTGGCTTCGAACTCATGACCTTGTAGTCAGAAGTGATCTTAATGCAGCTGACACTCAGACAGCTGTTGTTAGCTTGTTCTTTCAACTAGATTCTTTTAAAGTTTTCAGATTTAATCTCTAACCACAAACACAACATATTTATAATGATTTATTTGAAAGCTATAAGCTAATACCTAGAAATATTTTGTTCTATTTTCAGGACTATTCGTAAAGAATTTATTACTGCTAAATATGTAGATCATAAGTTCTCCAGAAAGACATGCGGTTCTGCAGCAGCAAAACTGAATGAACTACTTGAGGCTGTTAGATCCAGGGATTTACTTGCACTAATTCATGTCTATGCAGAAGGGGTTGAGCTAATGGAGCCACTGCTGGAGCCTGGACAGGTAAGGCATCACACAAGAGACTCAGAAGGTATAGTAAATGAAAATAAGCCATGTAGCCATATAAGGCAGGGATGAAGAATATGGGGCTTTCCAACTGCGTACTATCAGGCCTAGTTAGAATAAACACTGGTGAAAGTCATTAGAGGTCATACATTCTCCTTCCATGTTGTAATATCACATATCCAACTAAATAATTATATATTATGATTGCCAGCTAACAAAGCTAACCTTTTTATACATCGCTATGATTTCTTCTTTTGTTTATATGTATTTTGTTACCTATGTTTTACATAAATTAATATCTGTTCAGTGAATAATTTTGTAAATGTCTGGGGAAGAAAAATAATTTTCTTCATTGTTGATCCATCTTAAGGAGCCGGGTGAAACAGCCCTTCATTTAGCGATTCGGACTGCTGACCACACGTCACTTCATCTGGTTGACTTCCTTGTACAAAACAGGTAAAGTAAATATGCTTGCTTATATCTTGGATTGTACCCTTAAAACTTTTTCTGAATTAAAGATCTGGTATTTGCAGTTCCAGCCAGATTTGCCTGGTACAGAATTCTGATTCACAGAGGCATCTGATTTGAAAGGCAAACTGGTTTTGAAGGCAAAAATTATCTCATTGTTTGTTTTAATAGCTGTTAATAGTATGGCCCTAAATGAAGTTGAAACAGTGCTTGATTAATCATTTTGTGTCAATGCATTCCTTGTGTTAATTGGAGGATAACTTATGTTGACAACACCCAACTCTCAACTGTTCTTCCAATTTAAACTAAAATTATTTTCAAAGGCTTTCATGGCTGGAATCACTGGGTTGTTGTAGGTTTTTTAGGCTATACGGCCATGTTCTAGAAGCATTCTCTCCTAACGTTTCACCTGCATCTCTGGCAGGCATCCTCGGAGATTGTGAGGCCTCACAACCTCTGTGGATGCCTGTCATAGTTGCAGATGAAACGCCAGGAGATAATATTTCTAGAACATGGTCATATAGCCCTAAAAACCTACAAAACCCAAAGTTATTGAAGAAATTGAAGATTATTCCAGACAAAACAAAGGTGCTTTTAGTCAGTCGGTCAGTCAGTCAGTCAAAAAGCAGTTCATAGATCCTGGTTGTTCTGAAAGGGGTTACATCTCCTCTTTAGATTAAGGCTTGCAATTGACTGCAATTCCTGAATCCATATGTCTGGGTGCCCAAGTTTCTGCAGTGACAAAGAGTGTGCCCCGATTTGGCCAGTTGCATCCTTTTTTATTATTCTAACATAATGGCGCAGCAGGTTAAACCATTGAGCTGCTGAACTTGCTGACCGAAAGGTTGGCGGTTCGAATCTGGAGAGCGGGGTGAGCTCCCACTGTTAGGCCCAGCTTCTGCCATTGTAGTAGTTCATGCAAATGTGAGTAGGTACTGATTCAGCAGGAAGGAAACTGCACTACATGCAGTCATGCTGGCCACATGACCTTGGAAATGTCTACGGACAATGCTGTCTCTTTGGCTTAGAAATGAAGATGAGCACCAACCCCCAGGGTCAGACACGACTGGACTTAATGTCAGGGAAAAACCTTTACATTTACCTATATTTTGATACGATGTCCTATCAGCCAGCATTAGATTTCTGAGTACTGACTAGAGTAAGGGGAGGATTTACTCACGGTCTTCAACTTCTTTATTTCCTTCCCCCAGTCCAGGACATTAGCTTGTCCATAATCCTACGGCAAAACTGCTGGCAGAGTTAAGTTATGAAGAGCACGTGATTACCTTATTAACATTATCTTCACTGGATAATGGTCAGTTTGGAGTCACTATATGGCTTTTGTCCAGACTGTCTAATAGGTTGTGTGGAAGAATATATTTGATGTATTGACGTAAAGCACCATGTACACTTGATGATCCTATATAAATCGATGATGATGATGTTTAACATTGGAAACATTTTTTTACATAAGCTCTAAAGAGGCCCAATCAGGATGGCAGACTACACAAGGGGGCGGGGGACCAATTCTTTCTCCTCAGCTGTTTTTCTCTGGCAAGGCCCCTTCTTCCTGGTTTCTGTTTCCCCCAAAAGCTACTATTTTCAGAAGATAAAATATTTAGTGAAATATTTGCCTGGCAAATGACAGAAGGAGGTTGCATTCCCAGTTGTCATGGCTGTTTTTTATAACAAAGAAAGTGTACCAGCATTACAATTTTTTTAGAAAGTACACATAGATACCAAGCAGTTTGATGCTTATTTCATGTTTTCATTGAGGTTTCTACCACAGCCTTAAGTTCTTTGTGGTCTTTGTGCCTCACACTTACCTGTGAGTTCACAAATGACTACTTAGTCCACCTGAGGGAAGACTGTGATGACAGAAGTATAATGTAGCTATTTATTTATCGTGTCATCAGCAACCAGACATTTATATTACATTTTTAACAAAAACAAACGAACAAACAGACAAAACACAGAATTTGCAAGCTTGGTAGTTGATTAAATGTCCTTTGACCAGTAGCTGGCCACTTGGAGTGCCTCTGGTGTTGCCGCAAGGAGGTCCTCCATTGTGCATGCAGCAGGGCTCAGGTTGCATTGCAGCAGGTGGTCTGTGGTTTGCTCTTCTCCACACTTGCATGTCGTGGATTCCACTTTGTAGCCCCATTTCTTAAGATTGGCTCTGCATCTCGTGGTGCCAGAGCACAGTCTGTTCAGCGCCTTCCAAGTCGCCCAGTTTTCTGTGTGCCCAGGGGGGTCTCTCATTTGGTATCAGCCATTGATTGAGGTTCTGGGTTTGAGCCTGCCACTTTTGGACTCTCGCTTGCTGGGGTGTTCCAGTGAGTGTCTCTGTAGATCTTAGAAAACTATTTCTTGATTTAAGTCGTTGACATGCTGGCTGATACCCAAAGAAGGGATGGGCTGGAGATGTCACTACCTTGGTCCTTTCACTATTGGCTGCTACTTCCCGGCGGATGTCAGGTGGTGCGATACCGGCTAGACAGTGTAATTTCTCCAGTGGTGTAAGGCGCAGACACCCCGTGATAATGCGGCATGTCTCATTAAGAGCCACATCCACTGTTTTAGCGTGGTGAGATGTGTTCCACACCGGGCATGCATACTCAGTAGCAGAGTAGCTGATAGGGAGAGATGGGTGGCATTATAGGAGTATCTCAAACTATGGCCAATACTAAAGGGATCCAAAAACATACCCCTACTATTTGTTTTGTTACCTGGTTGAAAACCTTTCTCAATGTAGAATAAAATACACTTATGCACAACAAGTATAGCTCATTTATCATGCAAACACTAATCATGTTTTTCACTTTGATTTTCAGTGGGAACCTGGACAAACAGACAGCATTGGGGAACACGGTTCTGCACTACTGCAGTATATATAATAAGCCTGAATGTTTGAAATTGCTTTTGAAGGGCAAGCCAACAGTAGATATAGGTGAGCGATCTATATTTTCACTATTCTCCATAGAAAGTTTTAAAAGGATATAAGTTGTAAAAACAGGGACATTAAAGTCCATTGGGGGAAAATAGCACTGATTAGGAAAAAAGATTTTTAAATTCTGGTGGAGTTATGAAGTAATGAAAAACTGTCCTACATAATTAAAAAAAACTTTTTAGTACAAATCTCTTGGTGATTTGTGAACTCTATTTTCATTGTATTTAAAATACATCTCAAGTAATTAACATTCAGGATAACATTTAATATGTTGTCAAAGACTTTCATGGCCAGAATCACTGGGTTGCTGTGAGTTTTCGGGACTGTATGGCCATGTTCCAGAAACATTATCTCTTGACATTTCACCCACATCTATGGCAGGCATATTCAGAGGTCATGAGGTCTGTTGGAAAATAGGCTGGTGAGGTTTATACTGTGGAATGTCCAGGGTGGGAGAAAGAAGTCCTGTCTGTTTGAGGCAAGTGTGACTGTTGCTATTGGCCACCTTGATTAGCATTGAATAGCCTTGCAGCTTCAAAGCCTGACAGCTACCTGCCCGTGAGAATCCTTTGTTGGGGGTGTTAGCTGGCCCTGGTTGTTCCATGTCTGGAATTCCCCTATTTTCTGGGTGTTGTCCTTTATTTAATGTCCTAATTTTAGAGTTTTTGAATATTGGTAGCCAGATTTTGTTAATTTTCATGGTTTCCTCCTTTTGTATTATTGTTCTTTCTGATATATATGCAAATTTAAAAATAAAAATACGCACATGAATCAATGTAATATTTCCTAACATTCATGTTCCAGACATGGAACAACCAGGGCCAGCTAACACCCCCCAACGAAAGATTCCCACAGGCAGGTAGCAGGTAGTCATGTACTCGACTGCCATTCCCGCCTCCCGACCATCCCATTAATAATAAATAAATAATAAATGCTTTATTTATAGGCCACCCTCTCTCCCCAAGGAGACTTAGAACGGTTTACTGACAAAAAAAGCAAACATTCAATGTCTTGGTTAAATTAACTCAATTCAAAATGATACAAAATAACATCAGTATACTTGTAACTAACTATCCCATTGTTGTGACATCTCGTCCTTTGGGTTATGTACAGTCATATTCTTCCTTCCTGTTACAGGATTTTTTCCATTTATCCTTCTAGCATGATGGTTATTATTTATACATTCCATACAAAGATTCTGATAGATTAAATTATGAAGCCTTGTTTAAAAACATTTCCCTCTTTCTTTCTTTTTACAAAATTTTGAAATGGTTTCCAGTTGTTGATAAAGTGAACAGCGCAATATAAATTACAGTATTTTGAGAATAATTTGACTAATTAATACAATTATTATTTAAATTTTATAGTAAACCAAGCTGGAGAAACAGCCATGGATATTGCAAAGAAACTAAGAGCTATCCAGTGTGAAGACCTGGTAAGACAAAAAGTGTTGGGTTCAGATTCCAGGACTAGGATAGAGGTGGGAAAAGAAACTGAAAATTCTTCAACATAAAATAAGTTTCTTGAGCTGTATAGATGGTGTTTCACTAAAAGCCCTGTGCAATCTATATAAATAAAAATGTAATGTTTGTTTGTGGGATTAACAGAACTCAAAAACCACTGGACGAATTGACACCAAATTTGGACACAATACACGTTTCAGGCCAATGAGTGACCATCACTCATAAAAACATTGAAAAGCACAGCAGAAGAGACTTAAAAAGCCCAAAAGCAAAATATACATTACAACACATGTGCAAAACCACAAATATATTTGCAAACACATATACACAAATATATGCACACATATATACACACACAGAACACATATACACAGACTGGGTCACAGCAACGCATGACAGGGGATGGCTAGTATATATATAAGAGGTGTGCTAGCATTGGTTTTTAGCAAAAAAAACCCAATTGAATTCTGCATTTTCATAAGCATGCAGTCATATAAAGAGACTATCATGCAAATCATTGTATGAGTTGCTTTATCGAAATGCAGAGCCGCTTAGCTTCTCATAATGTCCTTACAGTTTGTCATGGTCCTTTACTCATAAACAAATATGTTTCCCTAACTGTTCTATGAAACTCATACATTGCTTCTCACATATTTTCTAAGATCTGTATTTGGAGAGGGAATAGTTATTCGTGTGTGTTTTAGTTTGTTTTAGGCATATTGCTTTATTACAGGTATTTAGAGTTTGTGTTTATGACTGCCTCTGAAAAGAATGAAATGCGCATTTTCTAAAAAGACAAACATAAAACCAATATTTTATATTTAATTTCTTCAGCTTTCTCAGGCCAAAACAGGAAAGCTAAATCCACATGTCCATGTAGAGTATGAGTGGAATCTCCGCCAGGATGAAATTGATGAAAGCGATGATGACTTGGATGACAAGGTAAATAGGAATCTTGGATCAAATTAGTCCAGTTTGGAATTTTGTGATCATTTCACACTTCATCGTCCTGTCATGATCTTTCAATTAGGGAATACAAATAAGTTGTGTTTTCTTCATCTGAAAATGTACCTCTCTTTGTTATTCATTCATCTTCCAATTCATTGGTTCTCAACCTGGGGTCCCCAGATGTTTTTGGCCCTCAGTTCCCAGAAATCTTAGCACCTGATAAACTGATAAACCAAAAACGCCTTGAAGGCCACAGGTTGTGCAGTCCTGATCTACATGGATATACCCAAAGAGAAAATAATATCTATGTTTTAAATTGTGGACCAGATCATGTCTAGATTTCATCTGGAGCAGATAAATGCCAAGGAGAAAGGGATTCACTTTTTTGCCACATCTTCTTAAATAGTTCAATAAAAAAATTGTCCCATTTATAAAAGAAGGAAAGAAATAGAAGAAGAAGAAAAAGAAAAAGACCAGCCTTGGGATTCCATGATGTGTATCGGCATATGATGTGTTGTTAAGAATAATATGTTTACAGATCCATAACTGTATTTTTTTTTGGGTGGGGGGGCAGGGTAATGTTTTTAGTTACATGAAGGATAGATGTTTCTAAGCTTCTAGTGGAAGTAAATTTGCTCACATAATAAGATGTATATTCAAATGGCCATTGAAGTCAACAAGGAAAGCCTTGCGTAATCACTCTTTTGGCATCTGTCTTTTTCATAACATTTTAACATCCTTTGAATAGATTACAGTTTTACATTTCCTTTAGCAGTGAGAAGATATAGCATTAAAATATTTGTGTTAATAGCACACGTTATACTAAGTATTTTAAATTTCCCCACAGCCTAGCCCAATCAAAAAGGAGCGTTCTCCTAGACCACAAAGCTTCTGCCATTCTTCCAGTATTTCTCCCCAAGATAAAATGGCTCTTCCTGGTCTTAGCACTCCAAAGGACAAGCAGAGGCTCTCCTATGGAGCCTTTCCCAATCAGATTTTTGTCACTTCAAGCATGGACTCCACAACGTCTCCAACAGCAGCAGATGCCCCTCCACTTCCTCCTAGAAATGCTGGGAAAGGTATGGTGTGAATTGCATTCTAAACATTTCTTGTAATCTTCTCTAGTTTAATGGGCACTTTTTATTCTTGTTAACTATCGTTGTATTTCAGCTTCTTGCAATGCTCAACTGGATATTTTGTCAAACCGCTTGAAATAATCAAGAAGAAATTAGTTTCACTCAAATTATGTTTGGAAGTTCAAACAGCCAACTTATATCTCTTACATTTTTCCTTCTGTAATAGAATTGGACTTTGATCATAAGTTCTGAAAATCTGGTTTTATAGTTACTGCATCGAATCATAGCCATTAAAAAGAAAACAACAATAAACAATACAGTTCATTGTGCAAAGCCTTGAGCATTCAGTCTTCAAATTCCTGTTAATACAAAATAGTTTCCAGCTGCCCTCAGAAAGACAAGGAGGGTTTTAATCTAAGCTCTTTAGGAAGAGAGTTCTAGAGTTTCAGAACAGGCACCAAGACAGTTCTCTTGTGTGTTTTCTTGTTCGAAGCAAAGGTATAAATGCCATTACTTTGATTAGATACATTGTGAATCACATTGGTGGACCTTCAGCAGTGTGATAGTTGTTGTCTGTACTGGAGATATGACATTCTTTTGTGACACAACAACTCTGGAATACTGTCCTCAGAAAAGGTCATTTGGTATCATTTTTCATCCTTGGCTGAAGACATTTTCATTTGCCCAGAACGTTTGGTTCTTTCCTTTTGATACTGAGAGCTTTACCTACAAACTGCACAGCCTGATATTGTGGAGCTAAATCTTATTTTTCCATTTAGTACCAGTGAAAGCATTAATCGGAATTGTGGTTCTGAAGTATCTGTCATGCACTGGTTAAATATATATTAGACATGTGCATTCAGGGTCAACCTTGTCCCATTTCGTGTCCCGACTTTCGTTGGGGCCCCCGATCCGTTTTTTGTAAGCCTCTCGAAATTGGGAGGGGTTTTTTTTGTTCATGCATTTCAGGGCCAAAAATCAGACCATGAGGGGGGAGCGTCCGAATCACTGGCTTCCCTTCCCTTCCCAGTGTGCATTCTTCCTACCTGGCATCTGCTGTTTCTACTCCAGAGTAAGAGGCGCTTAGCTGCAGGTGCATTCTGGGCCTGCCTACATGCCCCGCCATACATGCCCCGCTACACTCTCCAAGAGTGCGTGTGTGGCAGAGTGTGCAGGCAGGCCTGGAGGGTGCTTGCAGCTGAGCTTCAGGCCGTCCTGCCTGCACGCCCCGCCACACACTCTCTCTTTTGAAGGCAAGTTTGGATGGACACGAAAGTAGGCTTTAATGTCGAGCAGATTTTCGTGTGTGGAGGGGGCTTCCCATTTTGTGCTTTCGAAGAAACGGAAGACACGAAAGAAACAGTAAAAACAGTAGGAATGAATTTTGCGCATGTGTCTAATATGTATTGACAGTACTGCATACCATAGCTTCTGTGTATAAACATTGTGTCAATGTAAAATATATATCAGCATTTTTGTCTTTTTTTTAAAAAAAAACTAATTTTACAATACAGGTGGCATATTCAGCACTGCAAAGTATTTCCTTATTTGTGAGAGGTTGGGATTATTTATTGTAGATATATTGGCTGAAAATTAAGAGAATAATCCGTTTAATATAGTCTATCTAGGGAAAAGCTAGCTCGATTGTTGTGCCATATACAAAGCAGAAGCATTGCTTTATTTTAGCTTGCAAGAGTAATTGAAATGTTAATGCCAACACATTTTTTTCTTGCAGAGTTGAACATTCTAAGACTGAAATCCTCTGCACGTTTGCTTTGGAATGAGCTCACCTGGGCTTATTCCAGGCTAGGTTTGTGTAGAATTGGGCTGCATGTTACTTGGCATGTAAGACATGGCATATGAATTACTATGATAGTAATTCCTGTAGTTGTATAGGTTTTACAGTCTGTATGGTATTTCAACTGTGGTGAGAGTTTCATCCAAGTTGACTTCATTGTTCCCTAGTTGAAGTTCGAATGTACTGTGGTCCCCATGACTGGCATCTGTCACCTCATTTGGGGTAAAGTTATTTCATTTACCATGCAGTTTGTTGAGAAATCTGTGCTTGTTCTAAAAGATACGGCATGTTTCATTGCATTTGTACTCGTTTTGTGTAAATGGTGGAAGAACGTAATAACCTTATTGCAGATTAGTTTGTTGATATTGCATTGTGTACCCCTTGCAATATTGTTAAAGTGTGTCTATATCAGCCTGTGATGTGTTTATGAGACTGTAGTAATCATGGATCAGGTTGTAGAAGCTGGCAGAGAATTTTAAACAACAAAGGACATGCAGAGTTGTTGTTCATTCATTCAGTCGTTTCCGACTCTTCGTGACTTCATGGACCAGTCCACGCCAGAGCTCCCTGTTGGTCATCACCACTCCCAGCTCCTTCAAGGTCAATCCAGTCACTTCAAGGATATCCAGTCACTTTAAGGATGTGCACTTCATCCAGAGTAGCTTTGTTCAATTCCTAACCTGGCTTTGGTTTTGGTGTCACCAGAGCTGTACTGGCACTAAATCCATCATTTCGAATAGTTTTACAAAATGATGAATTGGATCGAGAGATTTTGTTCCTCTGGTGTTCTTCATCATCTGCTATTCCTATGAGATACATGCGAAATCGAGAAATATCTTCCAAAAACCTTTTGAGGAAGGGATGAATTTCTGGTGGCTGGATCTTAAAAACCACCTTGATGTTTGGAGGCAGTTCTAGTTACTGCCAGCCAGATTGTGTCTGACTTAGACATCACAATAATTTATGATTAAAAACCAATTAGGAAAAGAAGGAGGGATCCCTGCATGGGAGTATGGAGCACATGAGAAATATATTGTATAGTTCTTCTTAACTCAAACCAGGTAACTATTTGTTCTCATTCAGAGCCATTTTCTAACTTTAGCAGGTCACGTTTGAAATCGTCATCTGTATCTCCCACTTTCAGATTCAGGGATCTGTGTTCATTTTTTAAAAATATGCAATTATACTATTTATTCCACATTCCAAAGTGATAATGTTTTGGTCTAGTATATGGTAATTTAAATTGTAAATCAATATTCAAAATAATTATATTATTCTGTGCTAATTTATGTTTCATTTGGAGCATAATACTTTTATCAATTTCTTACATGAAGGAGATTTCATACATTTTAATGGCCATAATTATATTTACTACTTCTTTTATGATTCTATTTCATTTGTTTTAAATATTTAAATCCCACTTTTTGGAAGAAACCTTCTTCAAAGTGAAATATTCAGTACTGTACATTGTTTTGCCGTTATTCAGCAGGCCTATATTACTAGTGTTCACTGGTGCGTTCATGGCTAGAGCTGGCATTCATACTTTGGGCTTTTCCTGTCCTTCCAGTTTTTAAATATGTGGAATCAAAATTATTGTAAATTAGAGTTATAATTTGTAATACTGAATTACATAAGCATGTGGGGTTGGAACCAGACTTAGTCATCCATAAAGGACACTAGTTGAAATCAATGGAATTTAAGATAGTTATGCTTAAGTCTTATTGATTTTGGTGAGTTTGCATTGGCTGGAAAAGTTCCAAAGGTTCAGGGATTGATTTCCTGCCCTTTGGAGCATCAGGAGATGTCGGGGCAGTGGCTAGACATTCACTTCTTGCTTTGCAAAAATAGCCGCTTATTTTTGCAAAGCAAGACATTCCCTCTTGCTTTGCAAAAATAGCTGCTTACACTTTAGAAAGGTGATGGAAGGGACCATTATTTGCTGAGAATTGACACCCCTGAAAGCTACTAGAACTGGCAACTAATTTTTCCTCCCATAACAAGGGAAACATTCTGTCAAGAGCCCAAACAATGCTGCAAAGGGCCTTCGGAAGGTTGCACGCAGACCACAGATTTTAGGAATCTCACCCCCGGTCTCCACTAAATATGACTAAGTTTGGATCTATAATGTTTACAGTATTGAAAACATTGCCTGTTGTCTCAAAAATGAAACCGGGATTCCCTTTGTGATTGTTTCTCCTGCTATACTAAGGATGTCTATATATGTGTATATGTGGACTGCTTTATTCAAAGTACTTCCATTGGCTAGAAGGGCTTGCAGTGTCTCTTGTTAAATTTACCAATGTTTGGAATGTCGCACTGTTTTTTAGTCCTTTACTAAACTTTTCTGTGGTGTTATTTTGAGTTCCTTCTGTGCTGCTTTGGTTTTAACCCTGCCTTGTGTACATGAGATGTTTGTTTGGTTTTACAGGTCCATCTGTTCCTCCATCAACCCTTCCTTTAAGCACTCAAACCACTAGTGGCAGCTCCACTCTGTCTAAGAAGAGGCCCCCACCCCCACCCCCTGGACACAAAAGAACCCTCTCTGACCCACCAAGCCCACTACCTCATGGACCCCAGAATAAGGGCCAAATTCCTTGGGGTGAGTTTTAAAATACGGAGTAAAGACAAATGTCATGTGATGCGGGCAAATATGCACTTTTCTTTCTGCTATTGATACTCAGACTATTCATAACAAGTCACTTTAACCTCATGATTATGAGTTGACATGATGTATGAATTGACATACTATTGGCTAGCATATTGGACTATAAAATTATGGTACTTTGAAATTTAGAAATTAGGGTATATGCTGCAGTTTGGCACGATCATCAAAGCGACAAACATTAATTAATCAGTGCTTGTCCTCCAGAAGCCCTCCAGTTAGAGAAAGGAATAAGCAGCTCTAAACCCTGGTTCTTTGGTACACATGGAATCTTGGAAGCATAGTTTTGGTTCTTCATAGTATTAGTGTGAACCACAGTTGAGTAACTACTCTTAAACATGATATCCTGTTAACCCAAAGCAGGTGACTATGAATTCTCTCTTTGTTATAAAGACTAGTTCAGTCATCAATGAAGAGTTGTATCATTTTAGTTCGTTGTGGTCACTGTGGCTCAAAAATATGGGTTGTTCTGCTTGTTTGCAGAGTATGTTGGAAACACCCAGAGATAAGGAAAATGATTTTTGGTGATAGCCCCACCTCAGTTCTTACTGGCATGCATAGTCTTTCCACTCTTCCCCTCATTTTCGTTCTGTCATGTACTGCAGTAGCAGTTCATTGAAGCACCTCTTCTCTACTTTACTGCTACGATTCAGAGTTTATCTTTTTGGAATTTTGTATCCTTGTACATTTATGGGTATTGGAACCCACAGCATCTGATTTTATTGTTCTTGGCCCCTGAAAATATTTTTTTAAAGTGCATTGTAAGGAAAAGATTTCCCAAAACGATGTTCATTTGCATTGTTGAAACATAGAAGAACTATAAACTGTTCTCTGGTCTGGACTGAAGAACTGTTTTTAGCATCTGAAGGTTTTGAAGCATAAAAGTCTTTCTTTGGTACACATGGAATCTTGGAAGCATAGTTTTCAGCAGGTGTTGTGTCTGTCTCAGCCATGTCCACAAAGTAATACATTCATTTAATGTACTGTAACACTTTCCTGAAATGATGTAATATTTTTGTGAAGCATGTTTTCCTAAAATGATTGTTTTTAAACCCATTTCCCTTACTTCTAAAAAGAAGTGGAATTACTTGAATTGCACATTCGAATATAATGTGTTTAATTCCAATGGCAACATTTTTAGAGAAATAAAAAACTTTATATATTTTATTTGATTTAAAAATACGAGTTCAGCATATAGAAATACAGAATCAGGAATTGTATAGCATCTTTGAAACTTAATATGTATGAGATAATTTCAAAAATTGAGGAAATTTCAAATACAATGATAACTGAATATGAATGAAGACTATATCAGTCCACTGGTCAAAATTGTATTCATCTGTATGATTATGAGCAATTCTTGTAGATTGACATTTACATATATATGACAACAGGTAAAACTAATGGTAAGGAAAGATATGTCTAGCCATTTTATAACACAAGCAAACAATACTGTTCCTCACTGAGGTACAGTGGTTACTGGCTTGTTCCAACGGATGCTGTTTGATTTCTTCATTTGTATTAACACATAAGAAGAAACCTTTAAATCATTGTGCAAAAGACAATTTTTAAAAAAGGTTTTTTTCATGTCGGGAGCAACTTGAGAAACTGCAAGTCACTTCTGGTGTGGGAGAATTGGCGTCTGCAGGAATGTTGCCCAGGGACACCTGGATGTTTTACCATCATGTGGGAGTCTTCTCTCATGTCCCCACATGGGAAACTGGAGCTGACAGATGGGAGCTCACCCCACTCCACAGATTCGAACTGCCGACCTTTCGGTCAGCAGGCCTGCTAGCACAAGGATTTAACCCATTGCGTCACTGGGGGGTTAAAATAGTGATAAATATGTTTTTAAGCGTGCGACAGAAATGACACGTTTGTTATTTGTGTTACCTTTCCCTCTGACCCAGCCAAATATTACATTGTGCCCTGTTTTTCATGTCAGTCAGCAAGCAATTGTTGCATGGCAAATGGGGGTCACCTGTGCTTTGTCTCTTGTTCACCAAACTGGTTTGTCTTTTTTTAAAAAAACATGTCCTGCTTACCATAGATGCACGGTTTTGCATGTTTATGGATGTTTGGGGCATCCATAAATTAAGGAGCATAACAGCTGGTACCTGAATTGAAGCTTACAATTGCATGGAAACTGGGAAATGTTAGGAAATGAACAGAAACGCAACCACTTTACATTCGGCTTGGGAAATCTTTGCATTCTTTGTGGCTCTTCAACTGAATTAAAAACAGATTTTCATCCGTGCTGCACTTTGAAGAACTAGAAGGTGTTGGGTAACTTAGACCCTTCAGGCGACTTGTAGCCCTTGGCCGAGTTTCATAAAATTTTGGAAGTCCTCTGTTAGTAAATGTTTCAACAGGGATCTGCACCCCTAATATCAGCCCATTGGATAAGGTGGTAGAATATTGAAATGACAAGAATAGAGGAGAAGAGGCAATCTTATTCCTATTTGCTTTGTTCTCATCTGCTGCTCACATTTTGTTTCCAAACTGAAAGAATCTCTTGAGATTATGCATCATTTTGAAGGAAGTTTTAATATACCTTTAGTAGCTTCATATATATATATATATATATATATATATATATATATATATATATAGTTTTGCTTCTAGTTTAGACCATTCCTATTCCTTTTATCTTGTTTTCAGCTCTCTTACAAATTCCATCCATTCTGACCTCGTCAAAGCTCATAGGTATATCAAAATGCCCTTCCTTTTTTCCCAGCATCCCCTTATCGATAGGTTATACCTTAGACCATCTGAGACACATTTGGAGAGCAAGTTAAAACTCTGGTGGCATCTTTTTATCTCTATCATATTTCTAAGCAAAGAGGCATTTGAATCAGTTTTAGGAAATTTAACGGAGTCTTATGAAACTATAAAGTTGGCATGGGCAAACTTTGATCCTCCAGATGTTTGGACTTCATCTCCCACAATTCCTAACAGTCGGAATTGTAGGAGTTGAAGTCCAAAACACCAGGAGAGCTGAAGTTTGCCCATGCCTGCTGTAAAAACTAACAGGCCTACTTGGATTGCAGCCTAATTCATCAGTCGCATCTTGCCAAAAACATAATTTATTAACTCTGGTCCAATTCATATGCAAAAGCTTTCCATGGTGGTCTAGGTGGGGGTGAATGAGGCGTAAATGTATTGAATGCTACACTTTGAATGTTGGAATTGAGAAGTTATTTGGTTTTAACAACTAATTCAAATACCTGATAAATAGTATTCCTGAGGCTCTGCTCATTCTCTGTTCTGTGGTGAAAGGAGGTGTGACAGTAAAAGGTTTTCACAAAAAAATGTGTATTCTTAGAATTTTCCAAATATAAAATGTCTAGTGGTGTAAAATCAACTTGAAGGCAGGTTGTCATTTGACTTACTGTTTCCTTTAAAATAGTCTTCCTCTAGTAGAAACTTGACTTGCAATTAATCAAATAGATATTCCATAAGAACACCTTACTATATATTGTTTGTGCCATCTAGCTTGAAATCATTATGGCCAGAATACTGTTAGGGCCTTACATCTTCTTAAGTGAATTTGCGCAGTTCTGTAATGTCCATCTCTAGCTAGGAGCTTCTGTCACATTACTGCATTGGGAAGATGTCAGAGTGACCATTGTGCTCAGGACACCAGCTGGGGAGTTCCAAGGCGCATCTTTGCCACAGTCCCGATGCACATCTTTGCAGTTCACTAATTGGGTTTCTTTGTGCCTGTGCTATATAGCTCAGTGTACACAAAGCTGTGTAATATAGACCATGATGGAGGATTTTGGTCAATGTTTTTAAAAATTTGATATATTTATTACTACAAAAGCTACCTACTATTTCTGCTGAAAACGGTACCCATTTTCCATGAAAAGATTTATTCAACTTTTTTTAATTCCTAGGTAATGATTTAGGTCCCCCCGCCTCAAAGGCTGTAAACAAGTTTGAAGGGATGTCTCAACAATCTAGGTAAGAATTTTTATCTTATGCTTTTCATAGGGTTTTCTGGGCCTCACTCAAAGTCAGCAAGTGGATATCTTATGACCAAGATTTGAACCCTGGTCTCCAGAGTCATAGCCTAACACACTCAGACCACGATACCATGCTGGCTCCCATTGCACGTATAGGAAAGAGCTCCGAATATGGAGTTTATGTTTTTGTAATTATTATTATGTTCCAACCTAGCAGTTCAAACACATGGAAATGTGAGTAGATCAATGGGTACCATTCCAGCAGGAAGACAATGGCGCTCCATGCAGTCATGCCAGCCACATGACCTTGGAGGTGTCTATGGACAACGCCGGTCTTCAACTTAGAAATGGGAGATGAGCACCACCCCCCAGAGTTGGACACGATCAGGATTTGAAGAGCATTGTTTAGATCTTGGTTTTTTTCTCCAACTCCATTCAGATTTGGTTCTTGCAATAACTTATTTGGACATATCAAATGCCTCCATACATTAGAGCAATGTCGGAGTTGCGACCTTTTGTAAAGGCACTCAAGACTTGGCTGTTTGGTTGTGCATTTAAGTAATCAGATCTAATTTGCCAAATAGTCACTGTTGAATGTTTTTATGTTGAATGTTTTTATATTGTGTAAATGCTATTTTAGATTGTAAGTCGCTCGGAGCACCTTGGTGGAGAGCGACTAATTAAGAAATAAAGTGAAGTGAAGAAAGTGAAGATTAAGTACTAAATCATTTTCTGAGCAAACGTGCAGACTGTTGACTCTTGAATATAAAATCGTAGAATCAGAAGAAACCACATGGGCCATCCAGTCCAACCCCCTTCCATGCAAGAAAAATGGGCAACAGCCTATATGCACAGAATATATGCAACAGAATATATACTGTTTGACTAAGGCAACTCCACTATCATGGTGTTTTTCAGTATGTGAGAAATGCATTGATAATGTTGATGAGACATTCTGAGCTTTCATTCTACATTTTGTGCATCTGTTTGTCAACAGTGGGACTGCCAAGACTGCACTAGGCCCAAGGGTTCTTCCAAAACTACCTCAGAAAGGTAAGGGGTTTACAATATGTGTGTGAGCATGCATGTGTACAGAGCTAATTTAAAATGACTTACACAACTGGACCATGTAAGCTAGAAGGGATGCTTTTAATTGATAGGATCTCTCAATCTCAGGAACTCTCATCTTTCCAAGTGCACTCCTTGTTTGTCCACTGTCCGCTGGTGTGTGCTCAGTCTTGGAAATTCACATGGAAGTATTACTACAGATAGTGATCCATGGGAAGAAGAAATGAGGTTCAAATGCTTTGTGAGTTTTCAAGAGCAAGAAGTTACACCTTTCCCAGTTGTGAGGGTGATCCTGAGAATGATTGACCTCTTGCCCTGATAGGCAAAAATGGTACAGCCATTTGAAGAGAAACCTCTGGTGGGAGCAACCCCTGAGAAAGTCAGTCTCTTTTCTGTCTGTCACTCCGCTCTCATTTTGCCTGCCAGCCAGCCATCTCTAACTGGAACAGAAAGACTTATTTTTTTAAACAAACCTTATTTTTAAGGCAAAGTCCTCTGTAAAGAAGTACAAATACAGTGACTTGTTGCCTCGATCTAGCTCAAACTTCGTGCCTGCTATTTTCTTAGTGATCATCATGGATAGCAGTCTATTCCCGCCCACTTAAATGTAGAGCTCTTGGGGGAGGAAGAAGAGTAGAGTCCCCTCTGTCCAGTTCTTTCAGGGAGAAGATACCCCCATCTTACTTTTAAAAAGCCATTAGAAGGGGTCAATTAAGGTCCTGGATCTCATTTGTTCATCTGTTCCTAAGTTCCTAATCTCTCACAGGGAACAGAGAGTGTTTCTCCATTAGACATTCTTTTTCCTATTGATTTCATGACTGTAGTAATGAAACAAGACCTTACTGAAATGTGATGTCTGTGCTACAGATCCCCCTTGTGGATCCTCCTGGTTTTGCTCTGGCCTTCCCTTTGGTTTTTGCCACAGATAAAGAATTTGTCTTAAAAGTAACTGAAGATAGGAAGGCTGAAGTAATGCTAAAAAGGCAGATTTTTTTCCTGTTGCTATAGTTGTTAGATCTTCTGTACATAGGGAATAGGAATTAGTAAAAGAGATTCCAAGCAACAGTGTCAAAAATGATTAATGGATTGTTTATTTCCTTTCACAATAGATGCTCATCTCAATACCATGCAGTTTAGTATTAGGTTACAGGTCATGACTGGTCACACATTCCAAACAAAATCTAACCTTTGCCTCATTTTTAGGTGTAATATTTTGGGAAAATTCTTTGGCACTTGTTCTGATTGAAACCAATCAAAAGGAGGAGAACATAAGACATAATCGTTCTTCTTTTTCATATAGATCAGACCACAACTCAAACTTTTAGTTCTTCTACCAGGTGCCGAGCCCAGGCAATTCTCAACCCTCACTCAATTCAGGAAAATAAATACAGCAGACTTGATGCCACTCACAGATTGGCCAGGAGCTTCCATGTATTTTGGGACTTTTATCGGCCAACATTAGTTCTCTGAGTACTGACTACAATTAGAGGAGGATTTACTCACTGTCATCAACTTCTTCATTTCCTTCTCACAGTCTAGGACCCCAGGAAAATACTATCTCCTGCTGAAAGTCATTTATACTTACTGTAAATTGAAAAACACTTCTCAAAAGTCCAGGTGCTTTTATTCAATAGCTTTCGTTGTACCCAAGAAAAATGCCCTGTATGGCCAATACAGTGGTTTGTCATGGATACAAATTTTGGAACACGTCATAGAAGACTTTTACCTGCCAAACTTCCTGGCCTTTTTCAATCTGTTCAAAGTTACTTACACATCACAGATCATGCCTATCCGAACAACCATTGACAGTGCAAGGCCCTTGGGATTGTTTTCAACACTACATTTGTTTCCCCAAATCATGCTAGCATTGGTGACACACTGGTGTTACATTCATTTGAACAACTTATTGATCCATGTGTTTTGTGTTGTTGTTGTTCCAGTAGAGATTGCAGGATATTCAGGAGGTGCTTCATTCATGCTCTCTCTGGGGATTTCAAGTAAACCATGGGGGAAAGCCATCTTATCCTATTCTACGTGATCCAAGCGCTGAGAGGAGTAGTAGTAATAGTAGTAACAACAACTTTATTTTTATACCCCACCAACCATCTCCCCTAGGGGACTCAGGGTGGCTTACAAAGGGACAGGCCCAAAAATACAGATAAAAACAGAGACACAATTAAAATCAATCAATAAAATAATAAAGCAAACACAGTCATAATAACATCATAAAAAACAATATTTATTTATTTATTTACTTTGCTTATATACCGCTGTATCTCAAGCCCGAAGGCGACTCACAGCGGTTCACAAACAGTAAAAACAGTAGAAACAGCAGTGGTTCCATACAACATATAACAATTGACTTAACACATTATCCATAAATTACCAATAAGCAATTACAATGCACAATTATTATGAAAAACAACTGTACCCAATCTTCTCATCATCCAAGCGTAGTCCAGGTTCGTCGTCCATTGTTCCATTCCTATATTCCATTACCAGATTGCACTAAATTACTCAAACGCCTGCAAACATCCAGGTCTTCACCTTTTTGCGGAATACCATTAGAGATGGTGCTAGTCTAATGTCCGTAGGAAGGGCGTTCCACAGCCGAGGAGCCACCACCGAGAAGGCCCTATCTCTCGTCCCCGCCAGCCGAGCTTGAGAAGCAGGCGGGATCGAGAGCAGGGTCTCCCCGGAAGATCTCAAACTCCTGGTGGGTTCATAGGCAGAGATGCGGTCAGATAGGTAGCTTGGGCCGGAACCGGTTAGGGCTTTAAAGGCCAACGCCAGCACTTTGAATTCAGCCCGGTAGCAGATCGGTAGCCAGTGGAGTTGGCGCAACAGGGGGGTTTGTATGCTCCCTGCGCTCCGCTCCTGTTAAAATCATGGCTGCCGAGCGTTGGACTAGTTGGAGCTTCCGAGCTGTCTTCAAAGGCAACCCCACATAGAGAGCGTTGCAGTAGTCTAAACGGGATGTAACCAGAGCATGGACTACCGTGGCCAAGTCAGACTTCCCAAGGTACGGGTGCAGCTGGCGCACAAGCTTTAGCTGTGCAAATGCTCCCCTGGTCACCGCCGAAACCTGGGGTTCCAGGCTCAGCGATGAGTCCAGGGTCACACCCAAGCTGCGAACCTGCGTCTTCAGGGGGAGTGCGGCCCCATCCAACACAGGCTGTAACCCTATGCCCTGTTCGGCCTTGCGACTGACCAGGAGGACCTCTGTCTTGTCTGGATTCAATTTCAATTTGTTCGCCCTCATCCAGACCGTCACAGCGGCCAAGCACCGGTTCAGGACCTGGACAGCCTCCTTAGTAGCAGGTGGAAAGGAGTGACAGAGTTGGACATCATCCGCGTACAGATGACACCGTACCCCGAAACTCCGGATGATCCCCCCCAGCGGCTTCATGTAGATGTTAAACAACATGGGAGACAATATTGAGCCCTGAGGAACCCCACAAGACAATGGTTGTGGGGTTGAACAGGTGTCCCCCAACAACACCTTCTGAGATCAACCCTCCAGGAATGACCGGAGCCACTGCAAAACAGTACCTCCAAGACCCATCCCCGCGAGGCGTCCCAGAAGGATACCGTGGTCGATGGTATCGAAGGCCGCTGAGAGGTCCAGCAGCACCAACAGGGACACACTCCCCGTCGAGCTCCCGGCGCAGATCATCCACTAAGGCGGCCAAGGCTGTCTCGGTACCATGTCCCGGCCTAAAGCCAGACTGTGCCGGGTCTAGATAATCCGTGTCTACCAAGAATACCTGGAGTTGTGATTGGATTTTTTTTTGTCGTGTCAGGAGCAACTTGAGAAACTGCAAGTCACTTCTGGTGTGAGAGAATTGGCTGTCTGCAAGGATGTTGCCCATGGGACGACCGGATGATTTGATGTTTTTATCATCCTTGTGGGAGGCTTCTCTCATGTCCCCGCATGAAAAGCTGGAGTTGATAGAGGGAGCTCATCCCTCTCCCCGGATTCGAACCTGCGACCTGTCGGTCTTCAGTCCTGCCGGCACGGATGAGATAAAGGGAACATAGCTGAGTTCAGGCTCAATGCTGCAATTTATCACCTTGATTAGCATTGAAAAGCCTTGAAGCTTCAAGGCTTGACTGCTTTCCTGGCTTCCTTTTTTGGGAGGTGATTAGCTGGCCCTGATTGCTTCTTGTCTGGAATTCCCCTGTTTTTGAGTGTTCAATTGCAGCATTCACGCTTTCCTCAAAGAGATAAGAGTTCTTTCTCCCACCCTGGACATTCCACAAATATAAAAACCCCACTTGCCTTGTTTCCAACAAACCTCACAACCTCTGAGGATGCCTGCCATACATGGGGGTGAAATGTCAGGAGTGAATGCTTCTGGAACATGGCTATACAGCCCAGAAAACTCACAAAAACCCACTGTCTGCTTCATCTCTGTTAGTAATTTACAGGAAGGAACTGTTAGAGGCCTTTGACCCAACAACATAAAAAGACAGATTGCAGCAATAAACGCCTTTCTTCTTCACAAGCAAGGCATTATTAGTCTTTCCTTCACCCACACATGAGGAGATTCCTCAGGCGGTCTTCTTTACCAGCTATACATGGCTGCCCATCCTCATCCACAAGATGTTAAAAGTTTTGACAGTTTTGTTCTTTGAAATCAATGTCCTGGAAGGTGCTGTTTCTCATGGCCAGAAGTTTTGTTCGCTATCACAGCTACGAGGTCTTTGAGCCAAGAAAGAGCTGTTTGTCATTTGTCTGGAAACAATGGTCCTACGTCTCAATCCAACTTACACCCCACAAATAAAGTCTCCTTCTCGTAGGGCACAGGAAGTAATCCTGCCATTCTTTTGGCCTCATCCTGAGAAACCCCTTGAAAATATATGGTCCACTTCAAATGTGCAATGTTCCATGTGTGTGTGTCTAAAAAATGCTGTCTTCCTTATTTTCTCTTTGTTTCCTTTCAACCACAATCCATAGAGATGTTTTCACTTTTCTCACTCAGCAAGTGGATTAAGACTTACAACTTAACGTGCTGTGAGGCTTCTGGATCTTTTTTTACCTGGAAAAATGGTTGCTCATTCTCTTGGCATCAGTATCCTTCTGGTAGATATCTGCCAGGCAGGGCCCCAGAAGTCAGTCTTCACCTTCGCAAAGCATTACAGATTGAATAACTTAAGCTTTTGCTAAACCCTTGTTTGGCAGGCTGCTACTCCAACATGTAAACAAACAGTCTATTCATGGGACACCAGCAAGTTTCTCACACTCATTCTAGGAGGAGTTCTATACGTCTCATCTGAGGGTTTTCTTCCTTTCACTGAAAAGAAATCATGGTTTAATGTATTGTTGAAGACTTTCAGAATCACTGGGGTTTTGTGTGTTATCTGGGCTATATGGCCATGTTCCAGAAGCATTCTCTCCTGACACTTTGCCTGCATCTATGGCAGGCATCCTCAGAGGTTCGAAATGGTGAAGGTGTCATCCACATATCTGAACCATATAGTGGGCTTTTTTGTTGCTGTTTCCAGGGCTTGTTTTTCAAAGTGTTCCATGTAGAAATTTGCTATGACTGGGCTGAGAGGGATCCCATAGCTACTCAATCTTTCTGTTCATAGAATTCATAGTCTCGCTGGTGAGGCAATGATGAAACAGAGCTGTAATGTCTTCTGGGACCTTCTGGTTGATGAAAGGCACTGTAGACTACTACAACCAGAGAAGTCAGCCATAGCAGAGCACCTGATAAACCAACCTGGACATAGCATATTATTTGAGAACACAGAAATGCTGGACCACTCTAACAACTACCATGTCAGGCTACACAGAGAAGCCATTGAAATCCACAAGCATGTGGACAGTTTCAACAGAAAGGAAGCAACCATGAAAATGAACAAAATCTGGCTACCAGTATTATAAAACTCTAAAATTATAACAGTAAATAAAGAACAACACTCAAACACAGGAGAACTCAAGACAAGAAACAATCAGGAACAGCTAATCACTACTCCACAAAGAATTCCACCAGTCAGTAACAAGCCACAACTCAAAACTGTCAGGCCATCAAATGCTACTCAAGGTGGCCAGTTGAAACATTCACATCTAGCTCCAACAGACAAGACTTCTTTCTCCCACCCCGAACATACCACAGATATATATTAGTTGCCAACAGACCTCACAACCTCTGAGGATGCCTGCCATAGATGCAGGTGAAATGTCAGGAGAGAATGCTTCTAGAACATGGCCATATAGCCTGAAAAACATACAACAATCCATTAGCAGACAAATCAGCTGATCTTCTCAGGATTTGCTCCACAAAGATCTGTACCATTCTTGCCTGTTAGGATGTGAGAGAGGAGCAACTCATCTCACAATGGTCTCTTTTCAGTTATCACAGGTAAAAAAACACTGTTTCCATTAGTGTTTCAAGGTGGATTCCTTAAGTATCATTAACCAGGGAATGAAAAGATGTTCATGTCTGTAATGGCTTGGGTGCTAGTTCAAGGAATGAACATAGTGTTCAGTGTTCTGAGGCATGAATGGGATGGCCAGCTGCACTCTCCTTCTGATTGGGTAGGAGGCCTTTTTGTGCATGCCTTTTTAACGTTCAAAGAAAAAGTAGTAATTTTTTTTTTGCCAAGATGTTAGTAATGTGAAACACAGTGCATTTGTGTAGGCCAGTAATGTAACAGTAATGATTAGAGCAGAAAAGAAAAATCAAGCAAAGTAGGTCATTCCATTTTTCAAGTTAACATTCTGAGCTCAGCTCACAGTGGGTAAGTGGCATCCGCAGCATGGGAGTGAAGAATGGGTAGAATTTTAATTTTACAGAAACATAAGAATTGCTTTGAAATTTCTTCTCATTGTATTTTCTATTTCAGTGGCACTAAGAAAAATAGAAACAATCCATCTTCCTTCAATAGATAAGTCCAGTCAACATTCAGAAATGTTTCAGAAGTCAGCTTCACTCTGTATAGATCTACCACAGAAGCCACAATCTGGAGACTTACCACCTAAGCCTCAGGCTCTGGAACTGCCCCAAAAACCTCAAATTGGAGATTTACCCCCTAAACCAGGAGAACTACCCCCCAAACCTCAATTAGGAGACCTGCCACCAAAACCACAACTTGCAGACTTACCTCCAAAACCACAAATGAAGGACCTTCCTCCAAAGCCTCAACTAGGAGATGCTTTGGCTAAAACTCCAGGTGAAATATCGCCAAAGCCTCAGCCTTCAGAGGCAAATCAAAAATCTCATTCCTTGGATCTTTCTCCAAAGGTACAGTCTAAAGAGACCGTCCAAAAACAAACCTCTGAGGACTCCAATGATGTGGCCCATGCATTGCCAGAGACCCCAGTGCCACTTCCAAGAAAAATAAACATGGTAGGTAGATACTGTTTCCCCTTTATGGAATCAAGGTTGTGTTGTTTCCATCAGCATACTGTTTTTGGGATTGGTATAGTCTTAAGACCGCTAATGGATTTTTTTTTTGTTCAGGAAATTTGAGTGTGTGATGTGGTTTGGATAGGCCAGCAATTGGGGTGCATTTTGTTCCAAATGCTGGCAAATTTCTCTGCTGGCTCTTGGCACACTTAAACGTACATTTGAAATATATCAACATCAACTTATTGTGACTAATGGTGCAATACACTTTTAAAGTAGCTAAATTTAGATAAGCCTTCTGCATATTTAAAGATAAGACAGACCTCGTTTGCAAGCTCACAGTCTTAATACACGTAATTCAAAAGAATAGATAAAGCAGGAAGAAGCAAATATATTTTTCTTAGACCAGGGGTCCTCAAACTTTTTAAACAGAGGACCAGGTCACAGTCTCTCAAACTGTTGGAGGGGTGGATTATAATTTGAAAAAAACATGAATGAATTCATATGCATACCACATATCTTATTTGTACTGCAAAAGACACTTAAAACAATACAATAATTAAAATGAAGAACAATTAAAAATATATTAGTATTTCAATGGGAAGTGTGGGCCTACTTTTGGCTGATGAAATAGGATTGTTGTTGTTGTTGTGTGCTTTTGAGTCATTTCAGACTTAAGTTGACCCTCAGCAAGGGTCAGGTAAATGACCTTGAAGGGTCACATCCGGCCCCCGGGCCTTAGTTTGAGGACCCTTGCCTTAGACTATGAACAAATAATGCTAGTCTCCTTATGGTGTTCTACTGAGAACAGGAGGTATGGTCTCCCAGTAGCTCTTATTTATTTATTTATCTCAGGGGTCCTCAAACTAAGGCCTGAGGGCCGGATACAGCCCTCCAAGGTCATTTACCTGGCCCTCGCTCAGGGTCAACCTAAGTCTGAAATGACTTGAAAGCACACAGCAACAAGACCAATCCTACCTCACCAACCAAAAGCAAGTGCACACTTCCCATTGAAATACTAATAAGTTTATATTTGTTAAAATTGTTCTTCGTTTTAATTATTTTATTGTTTTTAAGGATTTTTTGCACTACAGATGAGATATCTGCAGTGTGCATAGGAATTCATAAATGTTTTCTTCAAATTATAACCTGGCCGTCCAACGGTTTGAGGGACTGTGACCTGGCCCTCTATTTAAAAAGTTTGAGGACCCCTGATTTATGTGGTCAGAAATGAGCTGAGGGTGCAGTTAAAATGCATTTAAAAACACAAACAAAGTTTTAAAAAAGAATTTGACATTATGCTAAATTCCTTTTGACCAGAAGTTGGCCACTTGGAGTGACTCTGGTGTCGCTGTGAGAAGGTCCTCCATTGTGCATGTGGCAGGGCTCAGGTTGCATTGTAGTGAGTGGTCTGTGGTTTGCTGTTCTCCATACTTACATATCATGGACTCCACTTTGTAGCCCCATTTCTTAAGGTTAGCTCTGCATCTTGTGGTGCCAGAGTGCAGCCTGTCCAGCGCCTTCCAGGTCATCCACTCTTGTGTGTGCGCTGGAGGAAGTTTCTCATCTGGTCTCAGCCATTGATTGAGGTGTTGGGTTTCAGCCTGCCATTTTTGGACTCTCACTTGCTGAGCTATTCCTGCGAGTTTCTCTGTAGATCTTAGGAAGCTGTTTCTTGATTTAAGGCAATGGCTTGCTGGCTGATATCCGAACATAGGATGGGCCAGAGATGTCACTGCTTCGGTCCTTTCAACACATCCAAAACAACTCAATGTGTTGGGGAGACTGAATCCCAGAATATAAAAAGATTTTATTCAAGCAATTATGCCAATATACTTTGTAGAATGTTTACATGGCCCACAGGGACTGCTAAAAAAAAGAAAAGGCTCAACAACAACAACAACAACAATAATAAACAACAACAACAACAGCAACACTTTATTTATATTCCGCCCTTCTCACCCCGAAAGGGACTCACATACACGGCAAACATTCAATGCCGCTTTGTATAGACAATACAGAGAACAGAAGGAGGTATGTTTTGACTTAATGTCCAGCTTTTTTGGTGCCATGGAAGGTTGGGCTCGATTTCAGCCACAGGGAGTGCTGCTGCTCCATCCTCTATGACAAAGAGCCGTCAGGACTTCCTCCTTCCTTTTGTTGACCGGGCATTTTCTGATCTTCTTTCTTTATGGCGTCGTAAAACACCTCCCCCGCTTTTAGCAGTACCTAAATTCTCTAATTACAGCTAAAACTGTTTTCAAACTGCTTAAGTCAACAGTAATCTGGGCTGACAGTCAGCAGCTCACACTGACTCAGGGCTTTGATCTTGCAACCTTTCGGTTGAAGATCTTATAATTGCTGATGATTTACCAGCTGTGCTGGTAAATTATGTTATTAATGTTAAGATAAGAGCAGAAAAGTGTATTTAAAACTACATGTGCATATATACCTCATGTTATTAACATTTATATAAAAAGAGGGTAATAGAAATGAATACAGGAAATGGATGAAAAGCACATACAACCATACCTTGGTATTATGATAGTTTTGATTCCAAACCACCATCATAAAGTGAATATCATCCTACAGTGAATCACCGCCTTTCTTTTTTCACCTGTCAACTACATGTAAAAACCTAAAAACATGCTTATAGACATGATATCAAAATGGCAGTGGTTGGCCCGCTTGATTTAGCCTGGATTCGGCTGATGTACACATCACTGCCAAAAATAATAGATATGAATTGAACATGTATTGAAGTTCTCTAAAGTGAAGGGCCTTGAGGCAAGGCATGCCTGCACATGTGAAACAGGAACTGTGTAAATTTAAAACAAGTTAGCAGCCAGTCACCCTGTAGAGTTTTTTCCTCCAAACTGACCAAATTGTGAAAGAGTTTCTTCATGCCATGCAGGGTTAGTGAGAAGGGCAGCAAAGCACAGATCAGCTTTGGAAGCTTGTGTAGCTGAAGTGTGGGGTTTAAAATGAGTGAAAGAGGGAAGATAGGGAATGCCCTGCCCAACAAATCATGATTTTTCAGAACAGGAACCATTGTATCAGTGAGAGAGGGAAGAAGAGAACCTCTGGATCGGTGTTGGTATCATCCCAATTACACACCATGTAATACTATTAGTATTCGTATCTATGTCCTGCTTCTTCTCTCTCAAAAATCAGACAATATGTAAATTAAAAACTAAAGCATACAAGCATTAAAATTCAATTTAACATAGGTCTTGCCCACTAAACCTGCTGTTACTTCTGTAATTCGTTACACCAGTGCCACTGCTTTTCAGGTGTCCCGTGAGCAGTGTACATTACTTCTTTTGGAGTTCAGTGTGATGGAAATTTTAGAAGAACTGAAAGAAATACATCACTACATTAATATTAAATAAATATCTAGCTTAAATACAGTTGTCAGTCTCACGTAATCAACAGAACAGGTGTTGATTTACAAAATTTCCATTATCTCAATGGGTTTACGGGCAATCCCCAAGTTACAAGCAAAGTAGGTTCTGTAGGTTTGTTCCTAAGTAGAATTTGTATTTAAGTTGGAACAGGTATGCTTTTTAAGTCTAACTCCAGCCAAAAATATTTATTTTTTAACTTTGGATAGTTCAAGGAAGGGTTAACACCCCTGTGGTATTTCTTTTGCTCTCCTTGCCCCTGTTCGGAAGATTTCACCTCACTTTCTGTCCCTGTGATCCTTAGATTTTGGAAAATTTGGCTTGTGGAAACAAGGATGGGTGAGGAAGCATCAGTGGAGACACCTTTTCCTCATTATTTATTTATCGTGTCAGGAGCAGACCGAACAGTTGCGTTGCATTTTTTAACAAACAGACAAAATACAAAGTTTGCAAACTTGGTAGTTGATTAAATGTCCTTTGACCAGTAGCTGGCCACTTGGAGTGCCTCTGGTGTTGCTACAAGAAGGTCCTCCATTGTGCATGTGGCTGGGCTCAAGTTGCATTGCAGCAGGTAGTTTGTAGTTTGCTCTTCTCCACACTCGCATGTCGTGGATTCCACTTTGTAGCCCCATTTCTTAAGATTGGCTCTGCATCTCGTGGTGCCAGAGCGCACTCTGTTCAGAGCCTTCCAAGTCACCCAGTTTTCTGTGTGCCCAGGGGGGAATCTCTCATTTGGTATCAGCCATTGATTGAGGTTCTGCTTCACGATAATAACTCTTTCAGGAATGATTTTCCTTTCCTGGGATAGATTTCTCTCACTTCCTGTTGTCTCATCTCCATTCTTAAGTATGAGTCATTTGTAAGTTGGATGTTTGTAACTTGGAGACTGCCCGTATTTTACAAGTGGACTTGCAACTCTAAATTTGAAGTTTTAATTTAGCTTATTATTTCATATCAAAGGCATTGCATGAGTTAGTATAAAACTGATAAAAATAGAAGGAGCACAATGGCTAAATATCTTTTGACTAAAAGTGGGCAACAGAGACTGCATTGTCTGTAGCCTCAAACAATTCTTTCTCTGTACATCAGGCAGGGCATTGTGGACAAGCATACAGATGCGGAATTGTTTGTTCTGCTCCACAGTTGCACAAAATGGAGGATTCTTTTAGGTAGTGCCATTTTGCCAGGTTGTCTTTTGATCTGCCCACTCCACTTCTGAGTCTGTTCAGGGACTTCCAAGTTGCCCATTCTTGGTTTGCCCCTGGAGGAAGACCCTCGTGGGGGGCCATCTAGTTGGGATTTCCTGGTTTAGGTGCCCAGAGGGGTACCCTTGCTGTTGCTGGGGGGACATTAAGTGGAGTGATGGTTCTCATGAAGCTTTCCCTAATTGGAGTCCACTGGGAGGAGGCTAATAGCCAAGCTGTAGGTGGCTTTCACAGTGTTCAACCTTATTTCTCTCACACTTAGCAGCAACTTCCCGTCGCACATCAAGGGGGGGGGGGGTGCAATGCCAGCTAGCTTGTAGAGTTTATCAATAGGTGTAAGTTTGAGACAGACATTCTGTGATTATTCTGCATGTTCTGTTCAATGCTATGTTCACCTGCTTCATGTGGGCAGACTAGTGTCAAACAGGACAGGACAGGCATACTCTGCAGCCTTGCTGTAAATAACTGAATCAAGGTTTGTACTACACATAGATATAAATGTAATTACAATGCTCATTGGATTTAGTACTACCAAAGAAAAATGCGGAACAGTGTATTTTTACTGCTTTAACTAGAATATGTTTTTTGAAGGGCAAGAACAAAGTTAGGCGAGTGAAGACAATCTATGACTGCCAAGCAGATAATGATGACGAACTCACATTTGTTGAAGGTGAAGTTATTATTGTCACAGGTGAAGAGGACCAAGAGTGGTGGGTATGTATCTTTCTGGTATAAGCCCTTTATTACACAGTATCTTCAAGGATTGCCAAATGTTATCATATATAGTTTTAACTTCTGCCATCTTGCTTCTTATTTTGTGTATAGTTGTGAGTCATATTTTGTCACTTAAATATCAAATGCAGCTCTGTTGATGTTGGAGTAGTTTTAGCATTGACTTTGTATTGTCGAAGGCTTTTATGGCCAGAATCACTGGGTTGCTGTGAGTTTTCCAGGCTGTATGTTCATGTTCCAAAAGCATTCTCTCTTAACTTTTAGGAATTGTGGGAGTTGAAGCCTAAAACACTGGGAGAGAGGGCCGACATTGGCCCATGCTTGATATAGATGTTAGCACTAAAGAAGTGTGGAACTGTTGACTAATTTTGTGGAAGCATCTGAAAGATTGGGTTGCTGTGAGTTTGCCAGGCTGTATGGCCATGTTGCAGAAGTATTATCTCCTGACGCTTCGCCTGCATCTATGGCAGGCATCCTCAGAGGTTGTGAGGTCTTTTGGAAACTAGGAAAATGGAGTTTATATATCTGTGGAATGTCCAGGGTGAGAGAAAGAACTCTTTTTCTGTAGGAGGCAAGTGTGAATGTTGCAATTACTCACCTTGATGTAGCTTCAAGGCCTCGCTGATTCCTGCCTGGAAGAATCATTTGTTGGGAGGTGTTAGATGGCCCTGATTGTTTCTTGTCTGGAGTTCCCCAGTTTTCTGAATTTTGTTCTTTATTTATTGTCCTTATTTTAGAGTTTTTAAAAATACTGGTACCCAGGTTTTGTTTATTTTCATGGTTTCCTCCTTTCTGTTGAATCCACATGCTTGTGGATTTCAGTGGCTTCTCTGTGTAGTCTGACATGGTGGTTGTTAGAGTGGTCCAGCATTTCTGTGTTCTCAAATAATATCCTATGTCCAGGTTGGTTCATCAGATGCTCTGCTATGACTGACTTCTCTTGTTGAGTTCATCTGCAGTGCCTTTCATGTTCCTTGATTCGTGTTTGGCAATGCAGCATTTAGTGGTCCCTATGTAGACCAGTCCACAGCTGCATGGTATACGGTAGACTCCTGCAGAGGTGAGAGGATACCTGAAAGATTTGTGGAAGTGAACAATTGGCAGAACTGTTCAGCAGTGGAACAAACGGAGTGTGGTAGAGGCACCTTCTTTGGAGGCTTTTAAACAGAGGCTGGATGGTCATCTGTCAGGGGTGCTTTGAATGTGATTTTCCTGGACTGGATGGCCCACGAGGTCTCTTCCAACTCAATGATGCTATGAACTCTTACCTCCCAATGAAACTCTGTTTCTTCTTTGCAGATTGGCCACATTGAAGGAGAACCGGAGCGGAAAGGGGTTTTCCCAGTATCCTTCGTCCACATTTTGTCAGACTAAGCCAGACTGGAAACTTGAGCATTGCACATCCTTCCTGCGAGACGGGCTTTTAGCACGAAGCAAACAGCTGCTGCATCCTTGTAATTCTGTGCACAATTTGTGGATATATATGTATATATAATTGCTGTTAATAGAATAAGAACTCATGGCTCACCCTACAAAGGTGATGTGTCCTGTAAATAAATGGTGTTACTCCGCCTTTGCCAGTATTATGGTAGCCTTGGGACCTGGCACGCCTTACTGGGTTTGCTCAAGCCATCCTTGGCATCAAGCACTTACATCTCTTTCTGTGTGTATGAACTACCAGCTTTCTAAATATGGAAGGTCTCATTCAGTCCTATTTAACTGTACAGATGTTACCATTCCTAACGGATCAGTATTCTTAAATAACTAGCAGAGAGTTAGGTTCCGTTTTCAAAACGAACGGCTTTGGCTCATTGACGGCCCAGTTTACAGCGACCAATGTAAACACGTAACAGCTTGTGAAACTCCAATTCTTTGGTATTTGTTTTGAAGGGGAAAAAAGTGTTCAGTGTGCACATCCAACAAAAGAAATATTCACTGATGCTACAGACTAGTTGTCGTATTTTATGGTGTGTGATCAACATTTATGTGTCTGTATTATGTAGTTGTTAACAGTTGATCCCTGTGATATTTACCTCACTTAACAACCATCTGATAGTCTCCAAAGAATAAGATCATATGGGGCTTTGGGCTAGAGGTTTCCTTTCTCTCAACCAGGGAGTCAAAGAAAAAAGTCTGTCTACATCTGCATGCCTTCATGTGCTTCCTTACAATCTTTGTTCATGCAGGAATGTTACGAGCCATCTGTCAACTTGCTAGTTTTTTTAAAACGTCTTTTTTGAAAGCAGTGCAGCCTTGTGGCAATTATTTCCCACCTCAGTGAACAATATCAGTTACCATAAATCTTTGCGTGCTAATTGGCCTATCTCGAAAACCACTTTGTGGCAAGGAAATTTGCCCCTTCAGCATACAAAAACATAATAATGTAATGATGGTTTTCTTTTGGCCTGGAGAAGCCCAAAGAAATGAAATGTTTTGTCAAAGAAAGATCAGCTATTAGTTAATGGAGTGTTTCTCAACCTTCCTAATGCCGTGACCCCTTAATACAGTTCCTCATATTGTGGTGGCCCCCAACTATACAATTATTTTTGTTGGTACTTCATAACTGTAATTTTGCTACTGTTATGAATCGTAATATACCTGATAGGCAGGATGTATTTTCATTCACTGGACCAAATTTAGCACAAATACCCAATACGCCTAAATTTGAATACTGGTCAGGTTGTGGGGGATGGATTTTGTCCCTTGGGAGTTTTAGTTGCTGGGATTTAAAGTTCACCTACAATCAAAGAGCATTCTGAACTCCACCAACGATGGAATTGAACCAAACTTGGCACACAGAACTCCCATGACCAACAGAAAATACTGGAAGAGTTTGGTAGGCATTGGCCTTAAGTTTTGGAGTTGTAGTTCACCTACATCCAGAGAACATCGTTGACTCAAACAATGATGGATCTGGACCAAACCTGGCACGAATACTCAATGTGCCCAAATGTGAACACTGGTGGAGTTTGGAGAGAATAGACTCTGACATTTAAGAGTTGTAGTTGCTGGGATTTATTGTTCACCTACAATCAAAGAGCATTCTGAACCACACGAACGACAGAATTGGGGCAAACTTCCCACACAGAACCCCTATGACCAGTAGAAAATACTTAAGGCCATCCAGTCCAACTCCCTTCACCAGGGCAAGAAAACATAATCAAATACTTTTTACCCGCAAGCATAACCCCACCAATGATAGAATTGGGCCAAACTTCCCACACAGATCCCCCATGACCAGCAGAAAATACTGTGTTTCCAGGTGGTCTTTGGCGATCCCTATGACACCCCCCCCCCTCCCCCGGGTCCTAACCCCCAGGTTGAGAAACGCTGAATCAATGGGACCATTCAGTTGTACCTGTATTTACTTAATGCTGATACTGAGTCTTAATAATGAATTTGGGTAAACGCTGAGAATCCGCCAACATTGGTGGAATCACAAGGTGTGCTGTGACTTGTGATCGCTTTAGAGTTTTAATACTGCATTGCTTGCACCTAAAACTCGTGTATTAGAGACAGATTTCTTTCTCAAACAAACCATGCTTTGTTTGTGATCAATAGAAAACTTTTTTACACGGCTTCTTGGATATTTTTGTTGGTTTGTGGGCATAGAATACTCTTTAAAGTTATTGACTTTGACAATAGGACAAGTTTCCTGTCCTCTGTGTCAGATTCTTATGACTCCATGTCAAAATGTTTCATTTGACTCAAACACGGTTTCAAGCTAATCTCTCTTGAGTTTTTCACTTTCAATGTTGTACCACCCTGTACTCAGTGAATATTTGTTTTCTTTTTTTAATGGCTAACATACAAAAAACATAATCAGTCTAAGAAATCTTGCATGAAGAGAAACAACATTTATCAGCTATTATTGGAAAGTGGTTTTTTAAATATTTGCTTCATGGAAGCAATGCTCAGAAGTGATGTGTTACGAAACCAAGGCTTCATCGGTTTTTATTGTAACAGGTAGAAGAAGGACAAGGTTTAGGGCACTTCCTTTCAATCGGGGTTTCTGCATTTTTTTGTGTGTCGGGAGCGACTTGAGAAACTGCAAGTTGCTTCTGGTGTGAGAGAATTGGCCGTCTGCAAGGACGTTGCCCAGGGGACGCCCAAATGTTTTACAATTCTTTGGGAGGCTTCTCTCATGGGATGCTGGAGCTGACAGTGGGAGCTCACCCTGCTCCCCAGATTCAAACCGTCAAGCTTTCGGTCAGCAGTCCTACCGCAAGGGTTTAACCCATTGCACCACTGGGGACTCCTGGGTTTCTGCATGACTTGTTGGAAATGTGGTCAAATAGTGGTCAAGAAGGAAGGATGCCATTGAGCGTTCATGTGGCTGGCCCACCGCACACTGTGTTTAGGCTACCTGTGGGCAAGAGAGACAACAGGTAAAATCCTTTTTTGTTCATCCACCTGACTCTATGGCAGGATGGGCGACTGCAGAAATGGAAGGGGCATTTCCTCCAAATATGGCTGCCTGGTGGGCATCATTTTGGGACTTTCTTCCTTGGGAGAAACAATCACATTGGAGAAGCTTTTGGTAATTCTAAGGACAAAAAATTGTCCAATTAAAGAAAAATACAGGTTTGGAGAGAACAATCCCATTTGTCTCTCTGGACTTCGTATGCTATGAATCTTAATCTTGGTCCCAATGGTCCTTCCTCCAACCATCCTTCAGGCTGCAGAGCTGGGGCTGAATGGAAGACCAACCAAGGCCAATCCTACAACTTCAAGAAAAGCACATTATTTATCATTGTTTCCACCTCCAGCCTTTTCTTTGTTCACTCCTCCAGCTGAGCTTTGCTGTTGCCCACTATATCTTACTCACAAACAGAGGTGGCCACAGCATGATGAGTTGGGCCAACCAGGTGATTCCTTCCACTATGTTCCTCTCACCTTGAAACAAGTAACAGAAAAACCCCATTATCCTTTTGCAAGTTAGTATTCCTCGTGCGTTTTTGAAAAAAAATGAAGATTTGCAGTCATTATTATGTAAAGCAACAAACTCCAGGTAATGCACTGGTTTGTTTTTTTTTTAATGCATTACGTCCAAGCTCTGATCATGATACGTTCTGTTGAAAGCAAGCATCCAGGTGAGTGAGCCTGCCGGCATCAACTCTGCACTGTTACTGATTTCAGTGTTTCCAGAAATATGCTATTTATATCAAAGCTAAGTTCCTACTCCATATAGCTCATCAATGCAGCGTTCTCCATATATATATGTATTAAAGAACAAAACTGATCTACCTTATTTGTCAAATATATCCTAATCTCAAAAATCCATTGCTTTAAAGGGGAGACAAAAAAAGCAGATGATATAATGAAGATTCAAATGTGTAAAATGATGTAGAGTCAAATGTCTATTATTTTGTATGCTTTTTGAAGTAGAATATGAATTTTTTTAAAAACTAAAGTGAGTTCCAGCAGGAACAAGAGTTAACTATTCTGGGTGATTTGAAAGTCCATAGGAGAATTAAAATACAATGTATGATATATAGGTTGGGTTTGAATACAGTGTTGAATTTAAACTCAGAGCCACTATCTGCAATTTTGTACATGACATATTTGGAAAAGTCTGTCTGTTTGGGGTTTTTTTCCCCCCAGTGGGAGAGGGAAGTATGTTCGGCAAATGGTGTGTTATTTTACTGTTGAACAGCAATTACTATTTATTTTTTTATGACATAGCACATCAACATGTATAGACAGCAGATCTGATAGTGCCACGAGTTGGAAACTGAAGTCTTATTTGAATGTTACAGTCATTATACATCAGTATACTTGTCTCTTTACGTGTTTAATGTGACCGTTTGAGTACTGTATGTGTTAATTTCTACTTTTTTAATATTTAAAATTGCTTTTAAATAAATGTATTCAGTTGATCCCAGACACCTGTATGGCTTTTTATTAACTAGTTATTTTATTTATTTATCGTGTCAGGAGCAAACCAAACAGTTGTATTGCATTTTTAAACAAACAAACAAACAAAACACAAAGTTTGCAGGTTTGGTAGTTGATTAAATGTCCTTTGACCAGTAGCTGGCCACTTGGGAGTGCCTATGTGTTACTATAAGAAGGTCCTCCATTGTGCACGTAGCAGGGCTCAGGTTGCATTGCAGCAGGTGATCTGTAGTTTGCTCTTCTCCACACTCGCATGTCGTGGATTCCACTTTGTAGTCCCATTTCCTAAGGTTGGCTCTGCATCTAGTTAACTAGAGGAGAATTCATGTCTGGGAGGAGTAGACATCTTCGGTATCTCCTGGGACCCATTTGCTAATCCTTGAAATCACAACAGGCTGCATGGATCTCCAACATTTGAATAAAGTTCTGGTTTTGGAAAACATGGGTTTTCATGTACACAATATCCACTTTGTGTTCTGTGCCAACAGTAAAAAGGAAGGGATAGAAGTTGATTGAATAGGGGTGGGGGAGTTCTGTGACCTGTTTAAAAGATGAAGTGTTGTGTTTTCCATGAAACCACTATAATTCCTTCTTTTATTCATATAGCAAGATAAGTGTCCAAGAGAGAACTTGAGAGTAGCCAAGCACCGAGTAAGGAGCACTGCTTACTTGGTGCTTGGGTGCAGGTCCTGGCAGGCCTCCGCTTTGGATGGCGGCGCAAGACCACTGGCAGCCAACATGATGGGTCTTTAGCCCCAACCAAGGAGCCCTTTGACTCCCCAGATAAAGGTGAGGCAAACCCTGTCCAAAAGCGCTCACCATCCAAAAGCGTGCACCGGGAAGGGGATCCTGGGTGGGAAGCCCTCCCCACACAATAATGGGCCGAAAGAAAACAAATCTTTCGGCACCCAAAAACAAATATCTGCCCTTCCTGATTTCAGGAGGCCCAATAGAAATGGATCGGGAGGGGGGGGCACTAAAGGCCAGGACACTAAACAAATCAAGGTTTACCCTGAATGCACACAACTACTAACTTATATATATATAATGGGCATTACCCAAGTATGCCTTCTTCCTCTGAGTCTGCCTTCCTCTCCTGATGAACCTCTTCCCACAAACATTGGGAGGGAAGGCTGAGAGGAGACATGATAGCCATGTATAAATATGTGAGAGGAAGTCACAGGGATGAGGGAGCAAGCTTGTTTTCTGCTTCCCTGAAGACTAGGACACGGAACAATGGCTTCAAACTACAAGAAAGGAGATTCCATCTGAGCATTAGGAAGAACTTCCTGACTGAGAGCCGTTCAGCAGCGGAACTCTCTGCCCCGGAGTGTGGTGGAGGCTTCTTTGGAAGCTTTTAAACAGAGGCTGGATGGCCATCTGTCAGGGGTGATTTGAATGCAATATTCCTGCTTCTTGGCAGGGGGTTGGACTGGATGGCCCATGAGGTCTCTTCCAACTCTGATTCTATGAGGGTTGGAGGGTCCACCATCCACCTCCATTCTCCAGCTCTTCCATTGTTGACTAGCTCTCTGAGAAGGCCTCCTTAGAACATCATTTATAGCAATGCTTCTTTGGAGGCTTTTGAACAGGCTGGATGGCCATCTGTCGAGGGAGCTTTGAATGCTATTTTCCTGCTTCTTGGCAGGGGATTGGACTGGATGGCTCATGAGGTCTCTTCCAATTCTTTGATTCTATGATAACAGCTCCACATTGGAGCTGTGTTTACATAAAGATACTACGTAACTACAACTTTGTTATTAACTGCCAGCAGGTTAACTTGGACTTAGGAAGACCCTATCACGTTAACTGTTATTGTGATCGCCAACTAATGGACAATTATCACCAATCTGTTTTAAAAGGAGAATAACCCCAATGATTAGTAGCCATGCTGGCTGTATATTAGGAGACACTGCCTCTCAATGCATCCCATTAGGAAGCAAGAAGGTACTGTTGCTGACCGTGACTTGGTAGTTACTTTTCCCCCTCGATGGACTGTCACCTTGTCGTGGTGAGGGGGCTTGCGCGTTCCGATGAACCTGTAGGCACAACAACTGGAGTCGTGCACTCCCAGGAGTGGCCGAGGGGGAGGTTCCAGACCAAGCACAGTCCGAAGACCCAAAGACCTCAACGGCGGAGCAGGCGGAGGATAACATGGCACATGTTACAACGGCTGCGAAGGCGGAAGAAGGCTGCAACAGACTGAGAAGCCACGGTCATTGTGTTAAACTACATCACCAGTGGAACCTCACTCTGTGAAGTCTGTGTGTTGATCAGTTGTGCATTGACCTCCACACATTAAAAAAACCCACGCACAGGCGTCTTCCAAAGAAAATAAAAACAAACCAACCAAAGTCCCATGGCGATCAGCGAGTGGCGACAGGGGCAGGACTGTGAAATCTGGAAGCCCCTAGTCACAGACTGGCACATGGGCGGTGGGTACGGACTCAGTCGTTCTACCTCAAGGTCCGAGGCAGTTGAGTAGTTCGGCAGCTGTATCCGTGACTGAGCAGCCCTTTTTAGGACCCACTCTGCTCACCCCACATGGGGAGGGGGCTAGAAAAGGTGCCCTAAACATAGTCTGCCTCACTCATCCCTGACTGGACTGCAGCGTCCAGTGGGGTCACCACCCTGCGGCCAAAAAAGAAAAATGAACTTCGGTACATGGAACGTCCGGACTCTGATGGACAACAGCGGCAGTGAACGCCTCGAACGCAGAACTGCCATCATTGCAAGGGAGCTGGGACGCTTCAACATCGACATAGCAGCCCTTCAGGAGACCCGGAGAGCAGGAGAGGGACAGCTGAAGGAAGAAAAAGGAGGCTACACCTTCTTCTGGAAGGGACTGCCCGAAAAAGACCAAAGAATGCACGGAGTTGGCTTCGCCATCAGAAATGATCTGATGAAACATCTGCCCGAAGCACCCACTGGCATCAACGAACGACTCTCAACCCTCCGAATCGATCTTGCCAAAAACCAACGGGCAACCATCATAAGTGCCTATGCACCAACACTAGATGCTGACGAAGACATCAAGGAGAAATTCTACTGTCAGCTGGACACCGTCCTATCGGGGATACCTAAGGAGGACAAAATCATCCTCCTGGGGGACTTCAATGCAAGAGTCGGGCGAGACTTCGACCTGTGGTCAGGGACCATCGGAAAAGACGGGGTTGGAAACAGCAACTCAAATGGCATCCTGCTTCTCACCAAATGTGCGGAGCACAACCTTGTCATCACCAACACGCTCTTCCGCCAGAAAAACAAGTTCAAGACATCATGGAAGCACCCCCGGTCAAAGCATTGGCACCTCTTAGACTATGTAATCACACGCGCCAGAGACCGCCGTGACGTGCTCCTCACAAGAGCCATGACAGGCGCTGACGACTGCTGGACTGACCACAGGCTAATTCGATCCTCGATGGCTCTCAAGATTGCCCCCAAGCGCAGACTCCAAGGAAGGAAGACAAGGCGCAAAATGAACACCCAAGCCCTTCAGGAGCCCTCCAGACGAGCCCATCTCCAAACAGCACTCAAGGACCATCTACCCACAGTACACCCCGAAAATGTTGAGGAACATTGGAACAAACTGAAGACCTCCATCATCCAAGCCTGCGAAGAAACTATTGGATACCAAGCCAAGAAACATCAAGACTGGTTTGATGAAAATGACATCGAGATCCAACAGCTAATTGACAAGAAAAGGAAAGCCTTCCAAGCATGGCAGAGAGACATCAACTGTGCTGCTAAGAAAAAGATCTATGCCAGTGCAAAAGCTGAGGTCCAAAGAAGGACAAGAGAACTCAAGAACATCTGGTGGACAAAGAAGGCCGAAGAAATCCAACACCTGGCAGATACCCATAATGCTCAGGGATTTTTCAAAGCCACAAAGGTCATCTATGGACCAAGAAACCATGGCATACAGCCTCTACGCTCATCAGATGGAACCAAACTCCTGAAGGACCAAAACGCAATTGCACTACGTTGGAAAGAACACTACCAAAGCCTCCTGAACCGCAGCTCCAACGTGGCCGAAGAGGTCCTCTCACAAATCCCGCAACAACCAACCAGGGATGAGCTTGCAGCACTGCCTAGTTTGGAAGAAGTCAGCAATGCCATCAGCCAACAGAAGAATAACAAAGCCAGTGGACCAGATGGGATCCCTGCTGAAATCTTTAAAGAGGGAGGACCTGAGCTGACACACCAACTCCACCAGCTCATAGAAAAAGTGTGGGTGACCGAGAAAATCCCAGCAGATTTCAAGGATGCCACCATCATCACCCTCTTCAAAAAAGGGGAAAGAACAGACTGCGGAAACTATCGAGGTATCTCCCTTCTAACCTCCGCTGGGAAAATCCTCGCAAGAATCCTTGCAAACCGCCTTCTGCCCCTCTCAGAAGACACCCTCCCAGAATCCCAGAATGGCTTCCGCCCCTCCAGAGGAACCGTGGACATGATCTTCACTGCACGACAGCTCCAAGAAAAATGCAGGGAACAAAACCAACCTCTGTACATGGCATTCATTGACCTTGCAAAGGCATTCGACACAGTGAATCGCAGCGCTCTCTGGACCATCCTCCACAAAATCGGGTGCCCAAGCAAATTTGTGAACATCCTGCAGCTCCTCCATGATGACATGATGGCAACAGTCTTGGACAGCAGTGGCTCCCAAAGTGACCCATTTAAGGTGGAATCCGGTGTCAAACAGGGATGTGTTATTGCCCCAACTCTATTCTCCATCTTCATCGCTATGATACTTCACCTTGTTGATGGGAAGCTTCCCACCGGAGTGGAAATAATCTATCGGACAGATGGCAAGCTATTCAACCTCAGCAGACTGAAAGCCAAAACCAAGGTTACAACAACATCTGTTATAGAACTCCAGTATGCTGATGACAATGTCATCTGTGCGCATTCAGAAGAAGATCACCTTTGCAGAAGCATACGAGAAGCTCGGCCTGTCACTGAACATTGAGAAAACCAAGG